GGGATTCACAACCCAACCAATGGCAGTCAGCTCCGATTTCCTGTCTGCATAGTTGAAGGTTCAGAGGAGAAGCAGTGAAAACATTATCTCCACTAAGCTCCTAATATTGCAATGAAGCAGAATTAGTCCATTTTTAAGCATGAATTTTAAGCATGAATCCTTTGTTTAATCTCTGTTTTGGAGCACCCGGTGGTATAATGGGTTAAACCCTTGTGCCAGCAGGACTGAAGGCCAACAGGTTGGAGGTACGAATCCTGGGAGAGCGCAGATGAGCTCCCTCTGTCAACTCCAGCTCCCCATGTGGGGACATGAGAGAAGCCTCCCACAAGGATGGTAAAACATCAAAACATCCGGGCGTCCCCAAGCAACGTCCTTGCAGACGGCCAATTCTCTCACACCAGAAACGACTTGCAGTTTGTCAAGTCGCTCCTGACATGGAAAAAAATCTCTGTTTTGTGTATTTTAATATGTATTTTATAGAAATGCATTTGATATGTATCTTCTATAGAAATACATTTTAATATGGGTATTTGTGGTATTTTCATAATGTTTATGTGTTTTATTTATTCTGTAACCCACTCCGAGCTATAAAGACAGGTGGGTAAGAAATAAATTATTATTATTATTATTATTATTATTATTATTATTATTATTATTATTAACATCCAATGTTATTATTACATTACAGTGAGATAGGAGCTTATTAATTGATTGTTTCAGAGGGAAAATAATCAATTTCTAAATTATCAAACCATGATGCTACATGGGGTATGGCACTGGAAGAGTTTAGACATCATACTATAAGAGCCAGGTAAAGATCGGGCTAGCACAGTGTTGTACAATCGTAGAATCATAGAGCTGGAAGAGACCAACAGGGGCATCCAGTCCAACCCTGCTGCCCATGCAGGAAAACACAATCAAAGCATCCATGAGAGTTGGCCATTCAGTCTCTGCTCATGTAATATACTCTTGGATTGAGCTGTGTGGGCTGAGAAATTAGTTGAACTATAATTCAACTATTATATAATGGGAAAGACATGTTATGAATTTAAAACAAACGGCAGCTAGAGAAACAAACATTACTAGTCCTGCCTTCTTGCCCCATTCCAACACCAAGCTAAATTAGAGGGGCAACTGCTGTGGGCCACTTTGAGCCTAACATCTTATGAGTTGCCTAACCTAAGGCATTGCATGTCCTTCCAGAAATTAATGGACTGCAAACTTAGGCAATACATGCCAGTGCCGCCAATAGTGAGTTATACTGGAAGCTCTATGTATTTCACCACTAGGATGGAGGATCACGTGATTTTCAACGCTGTCTACATGAGGAGCCAGAGATAATATCACAGCTACCCCATGAGCCTGTAAGCTTAGTATCTTGTGCAAGTGCTTCCAGGCTGAATGCAAATAAAAAAACAGTGACCTTATTAGGAAAAAGCAATGTGAAATAATGAGTTGGGGCAAATGATTCCAGTGGTGTGATCTGTTTCTGCCCTGTAAATGTACGGTATGCAATTGCACCCCATAGGATAGCAGAAAGGAGATCACATTTATGTTTTGCTTCAGTCTGCAGAATTAATCTATTCTCTCCCTCACCAGTACCAATGCAGCTGATCTGACTAGTTGAACTAATACAATAACTGCAGGTTCTATAACTACAAAACAATATATATATATATATATGTGTGTGTGTGTGTGTGTGTGTGTGTGTGTGTGTTTGTTCATTTTCTCACAACTGTTAATGTTTCATTTATAGAGATTTCTGAAATCAACTTTACTAAAAATGCTTGAGTTGTCAATAGACTCCAGAACAGAGCTGGCATCTCTCTGTTCAACACAACTTTCCAGTAGAATCAGATCATATTTGACTATCATTCTGTTTTGTTTTTTACTTATTCTTTATGAAGAAAAGAAAGATGGAGGAAACAATGAAATGCAAAGAGATTAATTGCCCACAAAGAGATTAATTTAGAGCAGGTATTGGGAATCATGTCCACCTTGGGGACCATGTTTCCTTTGGGGAAACATTCCTCCAGCCCACATCCCAATGATGGGTGGGACCACAGTCAATGCTGACAACACCGACAACCAAACATGGGTTGGACTGGGTCCAGAGAAATAGCATTGCAGAGAAGATTAGGGTTTTGCTTCCCCGTAGAGCTTTCCCCCACTCCATGAAATTTCCTTTCAGTCCCCAACATTTCTATTATTGCACATAGTGAGATACTTCTCACTTCAAAATCAAACTTGTTATGTTTGACCTAATGATTTTTCCTGAACAATTTCTTTGGATTAATAAACTGTGTTTCTAAAAGCTCAACTGAAATATCACTGTATATTATTTCAGTACTTGCAATGTGAGGGGTGAAGGAAACTTTCTTTGAGGAAAAATTATTATGGGGGAGATAGTGCCCTCTTTCCAAACCTGCTCATAACTACATACTTCATCCCATTGAACATGTGTTTGGAAGTGTTTGGAAGAGTAGATTACCATACAGGTCAGGCATGCTCCATTTTGAAATTAAATAGATGATTTTTCCTACTTCCATCACACACATCAGTTTTATTCAGGAGTTTTCAGTTGATTTGCCATCACATTGTAGAGAGCTGTTCCCACCCACTGTCCCTCCCCCCATTTTCTTTGTGAAAAGAAACACCTCCTCTCCTGGACTATGTTTTTTGTTCCTGGGTTATCAGTGTCATTTCCTAATTGGTTCTGTCATAAACACGTGGGAAAACTTTATTAAGCTGCAAAAATTTTGCATTTGCAGGAGGGACATCCTGCTATAGCACATTTCGTTCTAGTTTCTCAATGATTAAATATCATGTCGAGTCTTCACCAATTTAACGTAGTTTGTGGGCACAAAAACGAAGTTTCTGGAGCACGGTAATGCCTTTCAAAGTCAGGACTACAAAATTAAACAGGAAACAACACAAATTATAAACATGTTTTCTTTATTATTATTAAGCCGCCCTGAGTTATTTTGGAGAGTTATTTGAGTTATTTTGGAGAGGGGGGCGGGAAATAAAGAAAGTTTATATTATTATTATTATTATTATTATTATTATTATTATTATTATTATTATTATTCAGAGACAGAATTGCCATCTATCAGTGGTGCTTTGATTGTGCTTTTGCTATACAGCAGAAAGAAGGTGTTTGGACTAGATGGCCCTTGGGGTCAACCGGAGGAGGACAAGGAGGAGGAGGAGGAGGAAAGGAGGCATGTGGGGGCTCTCTCTTTCCTGCCATTCCAGCAATCCTCTTTCTCTCTCTCCTTCCTTGTGTTGGAAGAAGGAAAAAAGGAATGAAAGAAAGGGGGAGGGGGAGGAGATAACACATGGCACACAGAACACATGGAAGGAAGGAAGGAAGGCAGGCAGGCCTCCAGAAAGTGCATGAGACAGAAAGAAACACAACATAATGCCAATCTTCCCTCCTCCATGAGCAAAAGGTACTGGTGGAGCTTTTTCTCAAGGGGGCATTTCAGCTCCTCCCACAAATTGCCTAACTGTATCATTTTAAAGCTGAGAATGACAAATACCATCACATGATAGAACTAATCATTTTGCCCATCTCTATCCAGATAATTTGCAAAAAAAAAAAGTCACTTGCAAACCAGTTTAGAAAGCATCTGAAAAGATAACCCTTTGCAACACTTTTTTAATCCCCAAGATTTCTCTACCCAACAGTTGAGGCCTAGATCATGTGATGAATACCGTAGGTTGCCATTTCTTAAGTGGGTGGTTCAGTAGTGTTTAATGAATGTGATGAAGTGGTACATCTATACTTTGATCAATTGCATATTGTATTAAAGGTACACATTTTTGGATTCTATAGAATAAAGCCATGGCAAGTAAAGCATTGTGAAACTGATAGAAACATGTAAAGTAGGTTCATTTTTTGTTTAGAGGGATGATGGTTAAATCAGTCCCACCCACTCCTTTCAGTAGCAATTTTCCAGCTACAGTAGAGTCTTGCTTATCCAACCTTTGCTCATCCAACATTCTGTATTATCCAATGCAGTCTGCCTCCCGCCTGGATCCACAGCTGTTTCAATACATTGCGATGTTTTGGTCTAAATTAGTAAATACAGTAATTACTACATAACGTTACTGTGTATTGAACTTCGTTTTTGTCGATTTGTTGTAAAACATGATGTTTTGGTGCTAATTTGAAAATCATAACATAATTTGACATTTAATAGGCTTTTCCTTAATCCCTCCTTATTATCCAACATTTTCGCTTATCCAACGTTCTGCCGGCCCGTTTATGTTGGATAAGTGAGACTCTACTATATATGAAATACATCCAGATACAGGGACAAAGGCATGTTGTATTAGTGAGCTGGGTAAACATGGAGATGGATAAAACAGTGATACAATAAAAAGACATAGAATCATAGAAACACAGAGTTGGAAGAGACCTCATGGGCCATCCAGTCCAAGAAGCAGGAAAACTGCATTCAAAGCACCCCCGACCAGGCCTGTAGTGAGGGGGGGGGGGGGTTAGAATAACTTATTCTCACATATTTATACATGACTATCGTGTCTCCTCTCAGTCTTCCCTTCTGCAAGCTAAGCATGCCCAGCTCTTTAAGCCGCACCTCATAGGGCTTGTTCTCCAGACCGTTTATCATTTTAGTTGCCCTCCTCTGGACACATTCCAGCTTGTCAATAACTCTCTTCAATTGTGGTGCCAATAATTGGGCACAATATTCCAGGTGTGGTCTAACCAAGGCAGAATAGAGGAGTAGCATGACTTCCCTGGATCTAGACACTATACTCCTATTGATGCAGGCCAAAATCCCAGTAGTTAGTCAATCAAACTATAAAACCATTCCCTGCAACTCAACAGTGCACATGTATCTTTTTTTGAAATCAGAATGTCCTTCGGGCATTGTTCTTTTCTTTTGTTGCCCACCTCCTCCATCTCCCTCTCTTTCTTCTCCAGCCTTTTCTTCCCTCGACTGTGGTCTAGCGAACCGAGACATTGCTGTTTCTGTGGCCACCGCTGGTGCTACAACTTTCCCTTCATCCCAGCCTCTCTCACGGGGGCGGGGAGAGCAGGGAGGGCCAGAGCAAAGTAAGTTGCTAGACTGATCTGGAAAGGAACCAGTTTAATCCCAACCATCAAGAAAGGGGAATTGCCAGCAAGGCAGAGAAAGCTTTCAGAGATCAAACCCCAAAGGTAAGCAAAATAGAGATCTCTCTTCTGGATGGGATACCCCAGCTGGAGAAGCAGCACTTAGTAGAGGAGGGGAGCAGGACTGAAGCATCTTCAAAGACAAGATGTAAGAGGTTGGCGTATAGTCCCATTTGTGATTCATTTATTCTGGGACAAGCAGAGGGAGGGAGGGAGGTGGGCAGGCATTGTGCAGGTCCAGGGAAGGCAAGGATGAGCCAGTGGAGAGGCCAGGAGAGGGATGCACCTGGATACAAAGAAAGGGAGAGAAAGGTAAGGGACCACAATATTCCTCCAGGACAACAAGTGTTCCATCACTCCAAATTTCTCAATGAACAGGGTTGCCAAGTGTTTTGATTGCTGGTACTTTTCCAATGCCTTAGCAACAGCCAGGCAAGCAGGGATTCAGCCAGCAACTCATCATTTTCTCATCATCTGATCTCCATACTAGCAGCCTGTTCACTGCTGAAAGGTTGTCATGTCAGGCTGATCTTTAAAGAGAGAGTAGTGCCAAGATAATAGTGGCAAGTGTACAAATAGATTCCTTGTCCTTCTAATCCAACTCACCTCTGATTCCTTGTATCCCGTTTCCACTGGGACATTGACTTTCAAACTGTCTGTAACCAACCTCTCCCCCTTCCAGGACGAAATGCATTGCACTCTCTCTTGCATCAAGGGGAGTACTCAGCACATTTCAAGTCCTCAACATCTCTGTCTCCCTCCCCGCTTCTTCCCCCTTCAGCCTTCTTGGCCACTTATGGAGGGAACAGAGCTTGTCTTGTGTTTCTTGGGATATTTTAAAGCTCTAAGTTCCTAGATTTTGATTTTGCGAGGCAGAATTGAGGCAGGTTGTTACTGTTTGATTTTTATTTTGTTCTTAGAGCCAAGGAAAGGTTGCACTCAAAACCTATGGGTTAACGCCATCATCACCACCCCCAAAACCAGTCTCTCAATAGAAAAGGGTTTATAGCAGAGAAGCTGTAAAGAAGTGGTCCTTGTTCAGTTTTCCTAGCTTTATTGCTGAAATCCTCCTCAGCCCTGACAACTTCTACTCCTCCAGGGCAGGCATGTAGCCGGGGGGGGGGGGGGCTTGAGGGGCTTCAGCCCCCCCCCCCAAAATTCTCATGGTGGTTCGCGAAAAGGCCTTACTGGTGCATTATTTAAACTGTTATGTTTATTCATATCATGATCTGATCACCATACTCAATATATCCCATATGCATGGGGGTATTGGGGTAATGATACAAAAGGTTTGCTAGGCTAGACCCTCTTTCACTCAGACTCACCCCCCCCCCGAAACTCAGCCCCCCCGAAAACCCCCCCTGAAAATTACCCCCCCCCCCCCCCCGAATCGAAATCCTGGCTACAGGCCTGCTCCAGGGAACTCATTTTCCTCATGCAAGGATCAAATGTGAATGTGCCATATCATTCATTATTTACATATCTTTCTTGTTAATGTCTGTGGAAATGGAGTGGATGGAACTGGATCTTCTCCCACTTACCTGTCTTCACTCTGCCACCATAGACAAGCACTTTTCTACCATTCTGTCCCGTATATGCTAAGTATACCCAGGCTGGCAGAAAAGGCATAGCATATAACAGCGTTTCTCAACCTGGGGGGGGGGGTCACGAGGAGGTGTTAGGGGGGGTCGCCAAAGACCATTAGAAAACACAATATTTTCTGTTGGTCATGGGGATTCTGTGTGGGATCTTTGGCCCAATTCCATTATTGGTGGGGTTCAGAATGCTCTTTGATTGTAGGTGAACTATAAATCCCAGCAACTACAACTCCTAAATGTCAAGGTCTATTTTCCCCAAACTCCACCAGTTTTCACATTAGGGCATATTGAGGATTCATGCCAAGTTTGGTCCAGATCCATCATTGTCTGAATCCATAGTGCTCTCTGGATATAGGTGAACCACAACTCCAAAACTCAAAGTCAATGCCCACTAAAAAACCTTCCAGTATTTTCTCTTAGTCATGGGAGTTCTGTGTGCCAAGTTTGGTTCAATTTCATTGTTGGTGGAGTTCAGAATGCTCTTTGATTGTAAGTTATCTATAAATCCCAGCAACTACAACTCCCAAATGACAAAATCAATCCCCCCCAACCCCACCAGTATTCAAATTTGGGCGTATAGGGCATTTGTGCCAAATTTGGTCTAGTGAAGGAAAATACATCCTACATATCAGATGTGTACATTACAATTCAGAAGAGTAGCAAAATTACAGTTATGAAGTAGCAACAAAAATAATTCTATGGTTGGGATCATGACAACATGAGGAACTGCATTAAGGGGTCACGGCATTCGGAAAGTTGAGGACCACTGGCTTAGTGGATTGGAAGCAGGTTTGGCATTGGAGTACTTCCCTCGTACTCACCCATTGTTTTATATACACATGCTTTATGCCAAAAAATGCCTTCAGAGTATTTTCTTCGGCACTTGACAGTACATATCATCCTCCCCCTCCCACCACATGCACATATATAACAGATGCTGGGATAGTTGTAGTTAGTATCAGTCCCATTTAGGAATCACTTTTCTTTCTTCTTCTTTTGTTTTATGTTTGTATTTCTGATTTTTTAAATTAATTCTGTAAAATTAAAGGTGATGGCCCTGTGGAAGGATAGGCTGCTGCCTTTCAAAGACAACCCTTACCTCCCGTGCACCCTGCATAATTATAGCACTTTATAATGGAGTCTTGGGATTTATAATTTACTGTGGCACCAGAAGTCTCTGATAGAGAATATTAACTATTCCACAACACTACAAATCCCAGATGTGCACAGCATTGAACTATGGCAGTTAATGTGGTGTTAAGTTGCTATTCCAGGCATGGGCAAATACTCTTGCTTGGATCTTTTAAGTCTCTGATTCAAATTTGGGGTACAGTCCAAAACCTGCCTGTCCTATGGCCATGCTAGCTAAGGGATTCTTGAAGCTACAACATAAAAAAGTAATGTCCATGCTCTACATTGCATGCTAAGAAAGGGAGAACCCTTCCCACTTCGCTCATGAGCCAAGTATGGAATGACCCAATAGGCTGGCTCTTCCACAAGATAACCACCCCATGCAACCAACTAGAAGCAACTTGCAGTTTCTCAAGTTGCTCCTGACATGAAAAAAACACACCAATTATTGGAATGAATTCTTAGAACAATTCTGATCACCTGACCCTCTGTGCTGTGTATGATTTCTATAATAAGATCATACGCAGATGATCTTATTATAGAAGCTGGCATACCAACCCCAACTGGCAAAGGCCAGTTCTAGCCATCTCAACCATCACTTCTGCTGAGTCCTAATGAATCTATAAGCTGTGAACTGAACCTTCCAGGGCGATGCAGCTGCGTCCAAGATTCTTTGTGGAACATCTTCACCTGATGCATAACTACCTGTCATGGAGTTTGAGAGCAAAGCAAAGGAGCCTGCCTCAGCCAAATGAATGAACAGACCCATGAAGGAATGCAAGTACTGCACATGGGTGTAGAAAATGTGGTATGGGATGAATCTAATACCTGTGAGAAAGAGACCTTTGTAATCCAAGGGAGAGAAACAAATAAGATCAGGCGACTGGAATGTATTAGGCAAGGAGGGAAGGAAGGACGGGAGAATGTTGACACCTGAGTCTAAATCTATGAGATAGTGTATTCCACTATAGAACAATGCTTACAATAAAAAAGTTCTTTCTGAAGTTCTTTCCTTGTAACTTGAATCCATTTGTTTATGTTCTAGCCTCTGGATCAACAGAAAGCAAGCTTGCTCCATTGGCTCCATGACATATCTTCAGATAGCTAGCATGTCATCTTACTTAGGCCCCATTTACACTTCCATATAATGCAGTTTCATAATGCAATTTAACTGCATTGGACTGTATTGTATGGCAGTGCAGACCGTAGACTCATATATTGCAGTTCGATGCAGTTAAATTGCATTCAGGAACTGCATTATATGGAAGTGTAGATGGGGCCTTAGTCTTCTCTTCATCAAGCTGAACATATATACATCCCCTATATCTTTGATCATCTCTAGTTACAGTGAAACCTCGACTTAAGAATGTCCCAACTTAAGAGCATTTTGAGTTAAGAGCTGTTGCTCAGCCCGGGTTTTATAAGAGCAGCGTTTTTAGTTAAGAGCTTGCACTAGTAGTAAACAGAATTCTGGTGCAAGATTACAGTGCTTTAGGGCTTCAAGGGAGCAGCCTCAGTGCCTTGTGCTCTTGTCCTTTTTAGGAGATTTCTGTCTGCTTTGCTCTTGTCTGTTTTGGGAGATTGCTGTCTAACACTGCTCTTATCTGCTTTGGGGAACTTTGGGTTAGTTAATGTTGTGTGGTTTTTATTCCTGGTATGGTTGGCATCATGAAGAGAGAGGGGGGAGAGAGCAAGAGAGGGAGGGGGGTTGGAATGAGTACAGTATCAAGAAAATGATGCTTCTGCCTCTTCACTTTGTGCTTTCTTGCCACAACTTTGTGTTTCTACAATTTTAAAGTTGATCTTTCTTTTTTATTGTTCCATGTAATTGTACATTTATGCATTATTTGTTATTTGTAAAACATTTTCTTATTTTAAAACATGGGGGACTGATTAAAATCATTTCAATGGGAAAATTCACTTTGAGATAAGAGTGTTTTGAATTACGAGCTCAGTCACAGAACAAGTTGAACTCTCAAGTTAAGGTATCGCTGTTGTCAGTTTTTACTTCATCTTTCTCCCATTATAAGGCATAAGACATTTTAAAAATACAATATACCATATTAATATTATTTTTAAAACTCTATAACAGTAAAAATACAATTACACAAACTCTGATTTAAAATGCAAGCTAAAAGAACAAGCTAAACAGCGTTAAAGGCTATTTAGACAACTAAAATAAAAATTATCGACACCCCCCCCCCCCAATTAAAAATGTGTAACGGTTTTCTGAAAGTATAAGCAAGCTTCCAAAGCACATTATAATGCAATATCAGTTGTAAAGTCTACTATCAGAAGTTTAAACAAGCACTAGCATCAAGAATTATAATGAATACAGTTAAATCTATGAGAAAGGAACAACGTGCAGAACATGTTTCCTTCTGCCCTCTCTGCTTTGTTATGTAATGAGAGGTTTTTTAAATAACCTGAAGCAGCACTCAATTTCTGATGGCACTTCAAAACAATTATCTGAGATCTGTATTTTAAAAATGTTTGAGAAATAGTTCCTGAGCCATGTACAGATATGGGAACAGGGCAGCTCAAACAGGAATATATCAGTAGGAGCTCCATTATTCACTGCTTGTACAGTACACAATTATGGGTGGGTGCTGCACCTTTTCTGCCTGAGAAATTTTAGGTCTGTTTATGTTTGGCATTTTTTGTTTTTGTTGTTGTTAGATGCAAAGACAAAAGGTTTCAGACAAAAGTCTTGATGGAAAGGGTAGGTTTTCTGTAAGGATGCATAGCACAATTTTTGGCCCAGGTCAACTTTGCATATATTTTGCAGAATCACTTCTGCCCCATGTCTGTAGTTTGGGTGCAGGGAAGAATCAACCCATATGTTTCTATATTAATATATACTTTTGAACATGTTTATCCATGAACCATACATTTCAACATGTATCTGCTTTTAGAGTAAGCATTTGCAATTCTAAAGTAAAGGTAAAGGTTTCCCCTTGACATTAAGTCTAGTCATGCCCGACTTTGGGGGTGGTGGTGCTCATCTCCATCTCTAAGCCGATGAGCCGGTGTTGTCCATAGATACCTCCTAGGTCATGTGGCCAGCATAACTGCATGGGGTGCCGTTACCTTCCTGAAGAAGCGGTACCTATTGCTGTGCTCACATTTGCATGTTTTCGAACTGCCAGGCTGGCAGGAACTTGGCCACAGTAGTCCACACTCTGGTTACATCCCGTATAGACTACTGCAATGCACTCTAAGTGGGGTTGCCTTTGAAGACTGTCTGGACGCTTCCACTTTGTCCAACGGACGGCAGCCAGATTGCTAACAGGAGCGGCGCTCAGGGAGCACTAAACTCCTCTGCTGCGCCAGCTCCACTGGCTGCCAGTCTGCTACTGGGCACAATTCAAAGTGCTGGCTTTAGCCTATAAAGCCCTAAACAGTTCTGGCCCAGCTTATCTGTCTGAATATATCTCCCCGTATGAACCATCTAGAAGTCTTAAAATCGTCTGGGGAGGCCCTGCTCTTGATCCCGCCTTCGTCACAAGTACGTTTGACGGAGAAACAGGGCCTTCTCAGTGGTGGCCCCTTGGCTATGGAGCGCCCTCCCTAGGGATATCAGATCGGCCCCTTCCCTTTTAACATTCTGAAAAAAAGCCAAGACTTGGCTTTTTAAGCAAGCGTTTGCAAATGCAACATAACAGACATAGGAAAAATGGAATGACTGGACAACGCTATTGACAATGCTTTTAACAAGGAGATTCTAATTGTTTTTATTGATATTGACTGTTTTAATTGGTTTTATATTTAAGCTAATTGATTTAATCGTATTTTATGTTTTTGATGCTGACTGTAAACCACCCCAAGTCGCCTGCGGGCTGAGAGGGGCGGTATATAAACATATTAAATAAATAATAAATAAAACTGGGCTATCCGCGGGAGCTCACCCAGCTCCCCAGATTTGAACCACCAACCTTTGACTGCTGTGGTATTCCTAGTTTTTCGCAACCAAAACAGAAGATACAAAGCACAAACCTAACTTGTTGGTATATGGCTTTTTTAGAGCAGTGGTTCCCAACCTTTAAGAGACTGTGGACAACTCATGCAAAAAATTGGGTACATCATGGACCGTTGAGATCAATCAACCCATCTCCCCACCACCTGTACACAAAAAAATAAAATTGGTTTTTAAATAACTAGAATTTATTAATCATCATTCTAAATATATACATATACTTTTTATTTTGTGATATAAAGACAAAACATAATGAGATAAAGAAAAAAATAGGTGGGTTGTTGTAGGTTTTTCGGGCTATATGGCCATGTTCTAGAAGCATTCTCTCCTGATGTTTCGCCTGCATCTATGGCAAGCATCCATCCATGAGGATGGAAACATCAGGAGAGAATGCTTCTAGAACATGGCCATATAGCCTGAAAAACCTACAACAACCCAGTGATTCCAGCCATGAAAGCCTTTGACAATACAAAAAAGTGATTTTTGCATTTCTTTACTAGGTGGGGAATCCTTGGATTGATACTGTTGCCCAATGCCTAGCACATGTCTTGGCACATGTCTTGGCACATAGTAAACTGGCTCTTGATAGTAGTAGACTCCTAGACTCCTGTTAGTACTCAGGCTTCAAGAGCCAATCTGGAAAAATGGGCTGAGAGTTCCTCTTCTGCTGGCCCAGCCAAAAGGAAAGAGAACCCACGTGCTTCCTTCTCTTCTCTTCTCTTCTCTTCTCTTCTCTTCTCTTCTCTCTTCTCTTCTCTTCTCTTCTCTTTTCTCTTCTCTTCTCTTCTCTTCTCTTCTCTTCTCTTTCTCCTCTTCTCTTTCTTTCTCTTCTCTTCTCTTCTCTTCTTCATGAGGAGCCAGTGATGGAGCATCCCTCAGCCCTTGCCTTCACTGGACTACAGGCTTTGACTGCCTCCTCCTCCTTGCAATCCAGCCTGCGAACAGGGCTTTCTTCCTTGCTTCAAAAGCAGGTAAGGAATGAAGGGTCCAACGTTACCGTAGCTGCTCCCTCACTTTTCCCATAGCCAGACCCTTCCTTCCTTATCTTTTATTGAGGAAGCTATTGCCAAAGTGCCGTTTGCAATCACCTCCTTGCAACCCAGCTCCCTGCCACCTTGACTGAACATGGAGCAATAGCAGCATCAGCCCAGGCAAGAAAGGAAGGATCCAACACTGTCATTCTTGCCCCTCCCTTTGCCCAATGTTAGAATCATAGAGTTGGAAGAGACCTCATGGGCCATCCAGTCCAAGCCCCTGCCAAGAAGCAGGAAAATTGCATTCAAAGCATCCCCAACAGATGGCCATCCAGTTTCTGTTTAAAAGCTTTCACAGAAGGAGCCTCTACCACACTTCGGAGCAGACAGTTCCACTGCTGAACAGCTCTCACAGTCAGGAAGTTCTTCCTAATGTTCAGATGGAATCTGCTTTCTTGTAGTTTGAAGCCATTGGCTCATTACGTCCTAGTCTCCAGGGCGGCAGAAAATAAGTTTGCTCCCTCCTCCCTATGACTTCCTCTCTCAAATTTATACATGATCCTCATCATGTCTCCTCTCAGCCTTCTCTTCTTCAGGCTAAACATGCCCAGCTCCTTTAAGCCGCTCCTTATAGGGCTTGTTTTCCAGACCCTTAAATCCTTCCTTCCTTCCTTCCAGGCTCAGGTGACAGGGGGCTGGTTTGAAAGGAGGAAATTGCAAATTCTGGCAGCAGCCTCCTCAAGAGCAAGGAATAAAGGATACAGCACTGGGCAAAGATAGGAGGGTTGTATCCATTCCTTACCTGCTCTTGAAGGAAGCCTTGTTTGCAGGCTGGATTGCAAGGAGGAAGAGGCAGCAGAAGCCCAGAGATCAGTGAAGGTGCGGGCCAGGGATAGCTCCATCATCACTGGCTCCTTGTGAAGAAGCAGGAGAAGAGAAGGAAGCACATGAACGCTCTTGTCTCTCTTTGGCTGGGACTGTGGGAAAGGAGACCTTTAAGCCCAAGTACTAACAAGAGCTAGGACTAACAAGATTATGCCTGTGGAGGCCCTTCCTTAACTCAGGTTTTCTGTGAACGACCCCCATGGAGCACTTTTCTGTTTCTTGCAGACCAGTGGTTGAGAACCTCTATTTTACAGCCTCATCAGATGTGGTGATTTTTGCATCCTGGGATGCTTTCACCCCACTTGGGAGACAGACTGACACAGGACATCACATGACTTTATGTGACATCCGGTGTGTGAGGGTTGGTAAATGTGAATAAACAGAAGCTTTACCACAGTATTTAAACCAAGATATACCCTGCAGTATAATAAAGTGTCACTTAGACTTGTGTAATAAGAAACAGTATCTTTACTTCAGTTCAAAAGTTCAAACAGGGCAACAATATATACAGTCCTTTGGAATTCACACAGAGAATATAGGAAATAAAACAGTCCTTTTAAATAGTCTTTAAAATATGCCTCATGCTTTAAAATGATCAAGCTTCAGATAGTTGGCAGCCAACACTCTCTTTACTGTCCAAAATGAAAGTAGCAGTTAAAACTGTTGGTCCCAGCAGCAAGCTAGAGACAGCTGCCAATCAGAACTCTGGCTCCTGGCACACTCAGCCAATCAGCTGCTGATACATCTTTCCAGTTAACCCATTATATCATGGCATCCCTTTTCAAATCCTCACACAGTGTAGGCCATGCCCCCAACCGGGGTGAAAGCGTTGTCGGACGTTTCCACCCCAATATGGGAGGCTTCCCATGTTGTGCTGGCTCCAATGGAGTCCGCACTGGGACTCCCCACAATAGCAAGACACTTTCCCAATGTGGTAGGGAAAGCATCGCCAAGAGGAAGTTTGCACATGGGGCAACAGATTCACCCCACTGCTCCCTCTTTCCTCACAAAAGCCTGGCAAAGTAGGACGCTTCGCCAGGGCTTTCTGATGAGGTTCTTAAAGACTCATAAAGCATTCCTGAATCTAACTTATAAAGAAGGAACTCAGAATTACTAAACTGGACAATTAGTGTAACAAGAGACAGAAAGGAATGTGCTTCCGTTCCTCATCCTTGAGGAATCATGATTCTTTTTCGCCCTAACTAACAAGATTTATGTTGCTACAATAACTACGAGCAGCAATGAAGCTTGACTGTAATATGAGACACATCAATTCTGAATCACTGTGAACACTTCTTTCAGGTTTATTTGTAACCATGAAGTCTGAAAATCAGCCAGAAGACAAGAGGATAGGAAAACTCAAACAAGAGGCAAACATGCAGAAAATGAAGGTAGCAGCTGAGGTGGAAGAAAAGACAAAAGAAGAAAATGAGGCTCTTGTTGGGTTCTTCCATTCCTATCAGGAGCTTTTCCAGTTCTTCTGCAACAATACCACAATCCATGGGGCCATCCGGCTCGTATGCTCCAAGAAAAACAGGATGAAGACTGCTTTTTGGTCAATCCTCTTCTTCTTCACTTTTGGTCTCATGTACTGGCAGTTTGGAATTATCTATAGAGAGTACTTCAGTTTTCCTGTCAACCTCAATTTGAATCTAAACTCTGATAGGTTTACCTTCCCTGCTGTCACACTATGCACTCTGAATCCATATAGGTAAGCTTGATATTATCAACTATTGCAAAGTTGAGCTGTTGTCTGAATTACCTGGTTTACATTTTCCCCCTAGAATCCATACTTTGTTTTGGATTCATAAATACTTAGGATATACTAATAGTTAGGGTACAACCAATCTGTGCTTTGTGGTTCTCAGTATATAAATTCCTCCATTAGCAATAATATAGTTCTGTTGGATCACTTTATGGATGCAGTGCAGTTCGTCCAGCCTTGTTTCATCCCACCACATGTAGGCTATTGGCCCACTGGTGAATTATCAAATACCTTCTGTCCACTTCTGATCAAGATGTGGAAAGTCACTTTTTCAAAGTATTTTGTTCCCTTTAGTTGTTAAAGGGCCCCCTGGTGGCGCTGCGGGTTTAACTGCTGAGCTGGTGAACTTGCTGACCAAAACGTTGGCAATTTGAATCCGGAGAGCAGGGTGAGCTCCTGCTGTTAGGCCCAGCTTCTGCCAATCTAGCAGTTAGAAAACATGCCAATGTGAGTAGATCAATAGGTACCACTTCTGTGGGAAGATAACAGCGTTCCATGCAGTCATGCTAGCCACATGACCTTGGAGGTGTCTATGGACAACGCCAGCTCTTCGGCTAAGAAACTGAGATGAGCATCACCTCCCAGAGTCAGACACAACTAAACTTAATGTCAAGGGGAAACCTTTACCTTTACCATACTTGTTAAAATGTCAGAGAAATAATTTGTTGCCATTTCTCATTACAGTCTGCGCCACTTTCCAAATACATGTTTCTTTTGGTGGTGAAAATGGTGGAGTCAACGAACTTATATTTAATAAGGAAGTAACACAGAACAGGAAAGCTCCTGGCAAAATAGCCCTAAAATGATTTAAATGATTTAAATGGTTTAAATGATTTGGAGAAATAATTAGTATGCTTTATTTGTTACCTTAGTGGATAACTTCATCCCCACTGGTTACATTACTTTTAGAATGTAACTATGCCAGAAAGAACTCCACAAATGTAAATTTGTTCACATTACATGCACCCTATTACTTCAAAGCTCTGCTCCTAGTGCAAGTAGTGCTACCTGGAAGTAATGGTGAAGAACCTGATCCTGAAAGCCTATCCTTCCCTCTTATAGGTACAGCGCTCTTCAAAATGAGCTGGCAGAACTGGATCATATTACTCAAAAGACTCTGATGGATCTTTATAAATATGATATGTCCCAGGGACAGAGCAACTGGAAGGCACAGTTCTCCCGGAAACGCAGCTCTCGGAGTCTGCACTATCATGTCGCTCGCCACTCATTACACAGACACAAGCGTGACAGCCAGGCCAGCATTGAGGACAACAATACCCAAGTGGACAAGAATGACTGGAAAATTGCCTTCTCAGTGGTAAAGATGGTTTCATTTCTCTCTAGCATACTTCCTATGCTGCTAGCTTCCAACCACACATCCATATCCCAGTTCTGGCATCCTTTCCTTATATGAGTCTCCCTCTATTGTTGTTTTGAAGTCTAAGATTTCTGCTGGGCCCCATGCTGTCGGATTTATTGCAGGATCGTTTGTTTTACTCTATAGATTACTATACAACTCAGTATCCTAAATCTAACAGTGCTAAGCATCTAAATCACACTAGTATGGGGATGAGATTACAAGTCATAACTGGGGTAACTGGTAGGCATGTGAGCTAAATTCGTTCCTACCGTTTCTACTATTTCTTTCAAGTCTTTTGAAGCATGAAACAGGAAGCCCCCTCTCCACCCAAAAATCTGCTCAACATGAAAGCCTGCTTTCTTGTGCATCCGAACTTGCCTCCTTGCCTTGGAAAGAGTGTGTGTGTGGCAGGCAGGCAGGCAGGCCTGGAGCTCGGCTGCAGGTGCACTCCAGGCCTGCCTGCACACCCCATCACACACACACTCTGAGAGTGTGGCAGAGCATGTGTGGTGGGGCATGCAGACAGGAAGGCCCAGAGCACACCCGCAGCTGAGCACCTCTTACTCTAGAGTAAAAGATGCTTGGCTGCAGGTACTGGCAGGCACGCACACTTTCTGGGCCTGCCTGCACGCCCTGCCACACATGCACTCATTTTCCAAGGAAAGTGCCTACAGCCGAGCACCTCTTACTCTAAGAGTAGAAACAGCAGGTGCCAGGTAAGGAGAATGCATGGTGGGAAGGAGAGCCAATGGGTGGGAAGCCCCCCACCCAACGTGTCCAATTTTTGGGCCCCTAAGCAAAAGAACCAAAAACAACCCTCCCAATTTTGGGAGGCTTACCAAAAAAACAAATCGGGGCCCCCAATGAAAGCCAGGACATGAAACGGGACAAGGTTTTCCCCGAATGCACATGATTAGTGGCCGGTGGATCCATTGCTATTGGGGTTTTGCTACCATCCCTCCTACAGATACACCATGATGCCTGAAACAGGTTTGGCACTAGAAGAGGTCAGTTTCGGCCTACACAAGGTTCAGAAAGAGATTGAAAGAAACTGTTTTTGGAACCAGGTTTTTACTTCTTAGCAACGGTGATCAGATTTCTTTAAAATGTCAGTGCTGCAATTAAAATCTACGAATGCCTGTTGCAGTTATAGACTACTTCTGACGTTTAAGATGTTGTTGGATTGCAGTTTACATCTGCTCTAGCCAAACATGCTAAGGATGACTGCAGCAAGAGAATTTGGAGAACTACTTTTGAGAATGATTAAAATTGGAACATACTGTAGCAAAACATGATTGTGCCCAGAAAATACACTTGGCCTCAGAACTTTATCCCACCACTTCTCAGTCATGGACATCTCCAACACATTATTATATTTATTCTTTTTTTAAAAAAAAAACCCTCTATCAGTAGGTGGAGACTCACAAGATGGCATGCTGGCTTATGCCCACCTTTGAAATGCATAACGTAATTTTGAATTTGAAATTGTCAGAAAATTGTCCAGTGTTTCCATAACATTATAGTAAATGTTGCAGTCATGAATTTCAGCATATGTTATTTTAAAATATTTTAGCTTATTCTCATTTTGTTTATTTTCATTAATGAAAAGAGTAACTTGATGAAAGTAAACATGATTTTCATCAGTGGGGTATTGATGAATTGACAAATACCTAACTCTACATCATTTGAAAGTATCAGAGGCATGCGGACAAGTATCATAGATGAAATTACTATAGCTTGGACTTCATTAATTTGAGACCAGTGGTTCATTTTTTATCACAGTGGTTCCTAAACTGTAGGCCACAGTCCAGAAACCTAAAATAAGGTCCTCAGCTCTAGATTATTACATATTGTTTTCTGTGGGCGAGCAGATGGAGACTACTAGATAACATATGTTCTGTATCAGAAACTAGAGCTGCTGTGGTCTATCCAATGCAATTTTCTGAATTGGCACCCCAAATAACCAAACCAAATCTAAAGTTAACCAAAAATTGATTGATAACCCTTTTGGTGCTAATGCTGGAGAGTGGTCCCTGATCAAAGCAGTCCCTGTTCAAAGCGGTTTCTGGTCAAGTAGTCCCTGGTCAAATGGGACCCTGGTCAAAAAAAGGTTGGGGACCACTGATTTATCCCAATGTAGTCGGGTAGTCTCAATGCTTGAGCCTCTGGGATTTTAGGGCACAAAAATCCCTTGTCAACATGACCTTTGTCTTCAAACTACTAGCTGAATACCATCAATGTCTAAATGCCATGACCACAGAAATCAAGAATCCCCTTTCTGAAATACAGCTAAGAAAGCCTCTTTGGGCTTTCTTAAATTCAATTTGCACTTCTTGTTTATATCAATTTTATACTTGCATTTGAATCCTGAAGTCACCAAAGAATCCTAGAAATTATAATTTGAAGACATCAGTTATTCTTTTTTAAACTTAGTAATTTTTTTACAGCAGTCCTTCTTCCTAAATTCATTGGGATAAAGGAAATATTAAATCAATGCAATATAGGTATACCTCAGAAAACAAGAGCACTTTGAAGAAGTTTCAGTATAATGTTATTGCTGCTGCTGTGTGCGTTTCATGTTGTTTCTGACTTCTGGCAACCCTAAGTCACAATTATCACAGGGTTTTCTTGGGAAGATTTGTTTAAAGGAGGTTGCCTTTGCCTTCATCTGAGGATGAGAGAATACGCCTTACGCAAAGTCATCCAGTGGGTATTCGAACCCGGTCCCTAGAGCCATAGTCCAATGCTCAAAGTACTATGCCACGTTGGTTCTTTTCCTACATAACTAAAAATACAGTAGAGTCTCGCTTATCCAACCTTCGCTCACCCAATATTCTGTATTATCCAATGCAGTCTGCCTCCTGGCAGATCCACAGCTGTTCCAATACATTGCGATGTTTTAGTGCTAAATTTCTAAATACAGTAATTACTACATAACATTACCGTGTATTGAACTACTTTTTCTGTCGATTTGTTGTAAAAAAAATGATGTTTTGGTGCTCAATTTGTAAAATCATAACATAATTTGACATCTAATAGGTTTTTCCAACATTTTCACATATCCAACATCCTGCCGGCCTGTTTATGTTGGATGAGCAAGACTCTACTGTATGCACAAATGAAAAGGAACAACCAGATTAGTAAGCATTACATGAGAAAACAACCCTTTTCTATAATCCTCCCAATGCTGATGCTGATAAAAAGCTAGACTGAGCACAAGAAGGGAAGAATGGTCTGAAAAGATATTACAGAAGGCCTGATTTGGGTAAGGGGCAAAGAGAAGAGGATAGCAGGAAAAGCTGATTTGACATTTCAATCGCAATATTTGCATGGCCAGAGTGGAATTTCCTCAGTTTTCATTTGAGATTTCCATCCATCCACTGTTTCTCCGGTACCCAAGGATGCTTCCCTTTCCCTCTGATTCCTTTGCTGTCCCAGGAATGGCCTAATGGGATTCATCTCCTTTGCAGTGCAATGAAAACAACACAGACTGTTTCAAGCAAATGTACTCCTCGGGTGTGGATGCTGTGCGGGAATGGTATAGTTTTCACTACATCAACATCCTGTCAAGGATCCCTAATGCCAAAAGCCTTGATGAGTCTGACTTTGCAAGCTTCATCTACGCTTGCCGTTTCAATGAGGTGACATGCGACAAAGCGTGAGTACAAAAGTAACTCCTGCTTTCTAGATTTATAGAATTTACACTTGAGTCCAGCCTGTTTTTCAATTTCCTTTTTTGACAGATACACATTTTCCATCACTGGTCAAAATGATTATCAGATCAGTTGAAAATAGTTTCTAAAGCAGAGTCAGCTGGTGGATAACACATTCTTCCTTCTTTTTTGTCAATGGATTTATGCAAATGAGGGGACAGAATTGTACCTGGTTTATTTAATTTATTTATCATGTCAGAAGCAAATGGAGAATACAGTTACAATGTGTAGAAAAACCACAAACAAAGTTAAAAACTTGGCATTATACTAAATTTTCTTTGACCAGAAGCTGACCACTTTGAGTGCTTCTGGTATCACTGTAAGAAGGTCTTTCATTATGTATGTGGCAGGGCTCAGACCGCACTGCAGTTCGATCTTCTCTGCACTCGCATGTCATGGGCTCCACTTTGAGGCCCATTTCTTGAGGTTAGCTCTGCATCTTGTGGTACCAGAGCGCAGTCTGTTCAGTGCCTTCCAGGTCGCCCAGTCTTCTGTATGCACAGGGGGCAGTTTCTCATCTGGTATCAGTCACTGATTGAGGTTCTGGGTTTTAACCTGCCACTTTTGAACTTTCGCTTGCTGAGGTGTTCCTGCAAGTATCTCTGTAGATCTTAGGAAGCTCTTTCTTGATTTAAAGCATTGGTTTGCTGGCTGATATCCGAACAGAGGATAGGCCAGAGATGTCAATGCCTTGGCCCTTTCATTACAGGCTGCTACTTCCCGACAGATGTCAGGTGGTGTAATACCAGCTAAACAGTATAATTTCTCCAGTGGTGTGAGGCGCAGACATCCTGTGATAATGTGGCATATCTCCTTAAGAGACACATCTACTATTTTAGTGTTGTGAGATGTATTCCACACTGGGCATGTGTTTTCAGCAAGAGAGCAGCAAAGCGAAAGGGCAGATGTCTTCACTGTGTCTGGTTGTGATCTCCAGGTTGTGCCAGTCAGCTTTCGTATGATATTATTTCTAGAACCCACATTTTGCTTGATATTCAAGCAGTGCTTCTTATAAATTAGAGCATGGTCCAGAGTAACTCCCGGGTATTTGGATGTGCTGCAATTCTCCAGTGGGATTCCTTCCCAGGTAATCCTCAGAGCTCGAGGTGCTTGTCTGTTCTTAAGATGAAAAGCACACGTCTAGATTTCAGATGGATTAGGAATCAGATGGTTTTCCCTGTAATAGGCAGTAAGAGCACCTAAAGTTTAGGAGAGCTTCTGTTCAACCATTTCAAAACTCCCTGCATGAGCAGTGATGGCACAATTGTCAGCATAGATGTAACTCTCTGTCCCTTCTGGCAGTGGCTGGTCATTTGTGTAAATGTTAAACATTGATGGAACAAGCATGCTCCCCTGAGGCAGACTGTGCTTCTTTTTCACTATCTTCTTCTCTGGCCCTGGAACTCAACACAAAAGCTCCTGTTTTGTAGCAGATTTCCTATGAAGTGGGTGAAGTGGTAATCCTTTGCATTATTATACTTTTTTTTCCAGGAGGAGGCAATGATTTACAGTATCATAAGCTGCTAACTGGTCTATGAAAGCAACTCCTGTAATCTTTCAAAAACCATCTTCTTTGTGCTGAGTCCTGTTCAGCACTTGTGGTGTGCAGCTTTTCCCTTTCCTGAAACCAGCTGCTGTGGGATCATAAATGGGTCGATTTTTTCCATAATTCTGTGCAGGATAAGTCTCCAGAGATTTATAAAGATGGTACAACAAGGAAATTGGTCTATAGCTTTTTGAATCATTATGGTCTTCGCCTGGTTTCAAAATGGCTATGACTCTTGCTTTCCTCCAGATTTTAGGGATCTGACAGGATGCAATGCAGTTGTTCATCAGCTTCAGCATCCAACACCTTGCTTTTGGGCCAAAGTTTAGCATTTGTTCCATCCGTAGATCTACGGATCTATGGATGGAACCCTGTTTGGTGAAAAAACATTATTTTCTGAAGAGGTTAATTTGTTTCAGTTCCACCAAGGTGTGTCCTTGGAACATGATACTTTTTCTATATGTGTATATGTCTTGTGGTTTAAAAGCCTACAAAAAACTCTACTGTGTCTGATGTGTACTCTGTGGGTGGGTTTTAACAGGTCTTGTATTACATTTTTACTCATTAACCCTCTGAAGGCAAAAAAAAAGCGATGTGAGTGTATGTCCTCTCTCACACGCACATATGCTATGGTCAGATACCTATTGATAGTCCCAGCTAGAATAAACTCATCAGATCAGTTGTTGAATTGTGAGCCCATGCTTTTCTAAATCAAACCAGGCAGTGAAATCAAGAAGTTTCCAGAACATAAGTTAACTGGTGGCATCCTATTAGTGACCTACTATGGCACCAGTCCAATTTATGTCATTGTGGATATTAAAGTTCTTCTTCAACAGCATAACAAGTTTTTCCTCAAATCCTGGCATTTCCATGTCAATGTTGAATGGGTAGATCAGCAGATATAACAATTTTCTTTAGCTGGACACATAACAATAATGCCATCCTCATAGATCTCACATAGACCCCCAGGAGGTACCTGAGGATGCCTGTTATGGTTCAAAGGGAAATAGCTGGATGCACTTTTGCTGCTTTTTCTGTTCTCCATTGACAAGGAATCGGATGAGAGGGAACAGCTGCCATATCAAAAAGCTGGCTTTGCCAGGGCTGCACATGGAGAGACATCAAACCTATAGACTGGAGATCCATAAGCTCAAGCAGGATCTCAGCCGTAGGTATAGATCAGAGCTGAGTTTGCTAAGACAGCAGTGTGTCCCTGGGCCAGTTCTGGATGAAGCTTCTTTTGTAGCTTCCTGTGAGCCGTTGCCAAATGTGAGTAGGGATGGAAAAAGGTTTTTTATTGAGAGATGGCAATTTTCCAAACTATTCCCCCATTCCACTGTAAATTTGTGGGGGATTTAATTCTTAGAATACAGACAATAGCATTGATAGGAGTCCTTACGACTATTTTCTTCTTGGCCCTTTTCCCATCAATTTCCTCAGGGTTCTTTATCAAAATTCTCATTAGGCACACATTCTTGGTGGTTTTTAAAAATGAGCTAGCTCCTCTGTCTTGAATGGTTGTATAGAAGGAGGCATTTTAATAGGTGTGGATCATTGCCTGGTTGAGTGGCATGCAACATCGGCAGAAAGGCCCTCTTCTACACAACTGTTCAACACACAGGAGCCATAAAATTTTCACAGCCCTCCCTGTGACCCACAACCAATTGCCCGATGCTCAGGCCTGTTGCCAGGAGCTTGGCAACCAGTTTCTTCTTTCCTGCATTGGCTGAATCAGGCAAGCAGCACAAACAAGGAAGTTTCTCAAGTCCCTTGTGGGGTACCTTTGCCTTGATGATAAGAATTCACATGACCTAAGCCTCTCTGACCACAGTTAAACAGCAGTTTGTTACGCTGGCTGAAGCCCTTGTCTAGTGTGGAAATACAACACCACACCACACATACAAACACTGATATATCTGAACCTTGACTGTTGTGGTCAGATAGTATCTAGACATGGCATAGCTGTTCCCTGAACTTGCTGGCAATTAATCTTCCATTGCCCTTTCTTTCACAATGTGTGCAAATCCTTTTCTCCCAAGCCCACCTGCTGCTGATACTGAACTTCTCCATAAGTGTTTTGAATCCATGTTGAATGCCACGTGTTCCTGTTTAAATTTGCATTGCGCTTAAGCCATTGTGCTCTGCACCATTGTGTCTTGGACTCATTATTTATAGTATAGACACAGCTTGTGGAAGGTCACCTCTACTTCCTTCCTCATCAACACCTTTTTGTTTGTTTGTTTTGTTCTTACAGCCTCTACATATTCATGCTTCTCCTTAGTAAACTGTTCTGCTACAAGCACTCTTCCTAATCAGGGTCCCTTGAGCGATGCTGGACTACAGTTCCCATAATCCCCAGCCAATCATGACCACACTAGGGACCCTGGTGTGCAGTGGAAGCCTGTATTACAGGTCAACACAGTTTATTGCGTTGTCTCACACTTTTCCTCTGGTGGAATGTGTGGCGGAATGACAATCATGCGTAGTGCATGAAACCACACACTGTCTTGCTAGAGAAAAGATATGCCACAAGGGTGATCACTAAAGAATAAAGTGTTTACTCTTTGTTATGTAGAGCAACATATATATGCAGTCATGTGAACAGTTGCATTGACTCACACAATGTTCTTTGAGAGAGATCCAAATGGTCCTTAGTTGTCAACATGAAAAGTCTTCTTCCAGCAGCCAAGAAACAGAAAATGCAAACTGTTTTGGTAAGCTCCCTGCACAGAAAACCCTAAACATGTCACTGTTGCCAAAACTCCCAGTCTCAGCTAGCTTCTCAGGCGTATCCCAACCAATCTGCTTTGTGCTTTGCATTTTTCAGTTAACACACTCACCAATTGATTTTTACATGCTCCAACAGAATGTAGACACAGCAAAATGTCAGAGCAGCTGGGGGAAGAGGAAAAATGCTTTTGCTGAAATGGTAAAAAGCACAAGTCGACACTTCGTAATTGCCTTTAGACAGAATGGAGGTGCTACATACTATCAGGGTGTACTGGTGCAAAACATTTCTATTGTAGTAAGGAAAAGGCCACACCTGCTTTAAACCACATTGGACAATGCCTCTTTGGTTCCATCTTAAGATGTTTACAAGATATGGACCTGGGCTTTCATCCACAAGCAGTATATTACTTTCAAGCTCATGTTACAGGGCTTAATAGCCAACACAGAAAACAGTTCTGCCACTGAAAACCTTTCTCACCACTGGATAGTTTATTGACGCTTCCAATAAAGCTAGAGATGGGACAACCTCCAAGATTGGGGAACTGCATTGTCTCCCACAAGTGAGTTGATGAGCCCCTTTCTCCATAGCCAGCATTCGAACCCTCCCAGGGTCCTGCCCCCTCTCCCCTAGAGGAAAAAGCAACAAGAAAATGTTGCTTACTTCTAAGGGATTTCTCTCAGTCCATTTGGAATTTGCATGCAAGCTTTCATATTTACAAGCAGACCCACAAAGAGTGTATATACCCCTCCCTTTCCATATAGGAATGTGTACAACTACTGTTGGAAATAGCAACTTTCTTCAAGCCTCCACTAGTAATTTGTTATGTATATAATTCAGATTGCTTGCTGTATTGTATATGTGTGTATTGGTATGCAGTTTTCCTTAACACTATGTTGTGGGAGAAGCTGCAGACCATGTGATCAGATCTGGGATTGTTCAGGACTCAGACTCCATTTTAAAAAGGCAGAAACCATTAGACTTTCAATGTAGAAACAGTACAGTTTAGAAGTAAGTAGAAACAAAAACTCCATTAGACCTTCAGACCAGAGAGATACTTTGGACGTTGGACTGTTGATTATAAGAAAGATGCAGTGTTATCTGCACAGAGAAACAACTTCAAATCTATTTGTAACTGGCTTGATATACAAAGTACCTATATGTTGAATACATGAAGTTTGTGAGTAAACCAACTATGTTCCTTTTAAAGAAGTCTACTTATTTTGTCTATTGAGAACATGATTTAAACAAATATGTTTTAAGAGAGAGAAGATTTTTTTGAGCAACTGAACAGAACACTTCTGAAACTCTGCTACATGTGTACGGGTGTGTATGTGTGTGTTTTTGTACATTGGCATATCTTTGTCCCTAACTGTTCAAAGAGATATCTAGGTATATCAGTTTAACCTGTGGGTCCCCAGATATTTTGGCCTTCATCTCCCAGAACTCCTAACAGCTGGTAAACTGGCTGGGATTTCTGGGCCAAAACACCTGGGGAACCAATGGATTAAGAACCACTGGTTTAGAAGCTGAGAAACCTAGTTGCCTTGCATGAATACTAGTGGATATTTACCACTGAGGAGAAGGTTGACTCAAGCAAGTTTTTAACTCTCCTGATTTTTTCAAAATAGTGGTGAATGCCATTTCCCAAAAGGTTATGGCAATTTCCATTTCCCAAAAGGTTATGGCATCATTTTTCCAAAAACTACTAGTACTGCAATTGTTCTTCCAGTACGCCAACACAGCTGCCTATTTTTCTGATCACTGAGTTAACCTGATTCTTTTGTGCCTCTTCTTTTAGGAACTACACGCATTTCCATCACCCCATTTATGGGAACTGCTATACATTCAATGCTAACAGTAGTAACCTTTGGATGTCCTCCCTACCTGGTATCAATAATGGTGAGTGTGCGAATGGGTGCAGATGGTATAGATCAGTGGTTCTCAACCTGTGGGTCCCCAGATGTTTTGGCCTTCCCAGAAATTTTAACAGCTGGTAAACTGGCTGGGATTTCTGGGAGTTGTAGGCCAAAACACCTGGGGACCCACAGGTTGAGAACCACTGGTATAGATGGATGGATGCTACCAGTGGCTGCTTGACCTTCCTATTTTCAAATGTAAGAATGCTAACAATGAATATGTGCAAAAGGGTGGGTCTCAGAAAGAAGGCATTGTGTCTGTTCCTTGTTGGATTGGATGAAATGTTCCAGTTTAGAAAGCTGGAACATTTCATCCAATCAAACAAGGACTTCTTGTTGCTTAAGCATCCAATCGGAAAGCCCATGGGAAAAAATCCCTACATATGGACAACTGAGCTTGCAAAAAAAAAAGCTATGCTACAACATTTCTGTTGGATATTTAGGGTGCTTCCAGAATAGGCTTTTATTATGTAGTGTGCTTGCTTTGTTTTATAGGATATTAAAGTGGGTCCAGATATTGTCACTCTTCCATCATATCTTTTCTTCCATATTTGAGGGAGAGAAGGAATAGGGACTTTTGACTGGAGTTACTAAAAGGAGTTCACAGTTTGGAAGCAGACTTTTTTCTATCTATAGGCATCTTATTACCCACCTTATAGTCTAAGTTTCTCAGCCTTGAATTCTGAGAGAGGGTGGTCTATGAATAAAGTAGTAGTTGTTGCTGCTGCTGTTGTTATTATTATTATTATCTGTACTGTATAGTCACACAGGTTTTGCTTCCAAACTATAGCTGGATACATGGGTTTCCGAAAAGTTCATCATGGTCTAACACAGTGGTTCTCAACCTGGGGTCCCCAGATGTTTTTGGCCTTCAACTTCCAGAAATCCTAACAGCTGGTAAACTGGCTGGGATTTCTGGGAGTTGTAAGCCAAAACACCTGGGGACCCACAGGTTGAGAACCACTGGTCTAACATCTGAGACTATCCTGGGCAGTAGATAGTCCCCAACCTAGGCTGGATCTAGACTGTCCTATATCTGATTTGAACTGAATTATATGACTCTCCACGGCCATATAATCTGGTATAAACAGATAATCCGGAATCAGATCCTGGGATATAGGGCCGTGTAGGAGCACCCCTAATCTTAAGTTTCCTAGCCTACCTCATTCCTACAGCCATCTTCCCACAGGGGTACTTTGTGCTTTTCCTGCATGAAAGGGGGTTGGACTGGCCCATATGGTCTCTTCCAACTCTGTGATGCTATGATCTCCTGCCCTGTTTTGTCTCCAGTTTAGCCTGGCCTTGATCCTCCTTGCTCTTTCTCTCCACAGGCCTTTCTCTTGTTGTTCGCACAGAGCAAAATGACTTTATCCCACTGCTTTCCACTGTGACAGGGGCCCGAGTGATGGTCCACAATCAGAACGAACCGGCTTTCATGGACGAGGGAGGCTTTAATGTGCGCCCTGGTATAGAAACATCCATCAGTATGAGAAAGGTGAGAGGGAAAAGTAGATGAGATTTAGCTGAGACAAAGCAGATAACAGCACATGGATGTAATAAAACCACTTGTATCATCACATTCAGCCTAAAGTTTAATATCTGAATCCATACAACACTGAAAGAAAATAAGAAATAACTGGCTATTTTAAAAGTTTCATAAGAATATATAAAGAAAGAGCAAACTTCCTGATCATTACTATGATGAATCTACTATTTACTGTCTAGATTTATTCTTGTAGAACCATTGTCTATCCCAGACATGAGCAAACTTTGGCCCTCGGGGTGTTTTGGGCTTCAACTTCCACAATTCCTAACAGCCAAAGGCCAAAGTTTGCCCATGCCTGGTTTATCCCAAAGTGAAAGATGATTTTTACAGTACCTGAGCTGACTGTCCAGTCATACATGCTTACCTCTAGTCCATAATGTGTGAACCAAGTATGTATGTTCTCCCCAATGTATAAACGATGCATACATGCCTTAGGGAGCTGGAATTTATCTCAACTCTCTCATGGGCATTCCTTCTCAACGTAACATATTTCACTGGGTTATTAAGGTAAAAGCTTTCCCTTGACATTAAGTCTGACTCTGGGAGTTGGCGCTCATCTACATTTCTAAGCCGAAGAGGCAGCATTGTCCATACACACCTCCAAGGTCATGTGGCTGGCATGACTGCATGGAGTGCCGTTACCTTCCCAACAGAGCAGTACCTATTGATCTACTCACATTTGCATGTTTTCGAACTGCTAGGTTGGTAGAAGCTGGAGCTAATAGCGGTAACTCACGCCACTCCCCAAATTCAAACCTGTGACCTTTCCATCAGCAAGTTCAGCAGCTCCGCGGTTTAACCCACTGCACCACGGGGCACTCCACTGGGTTATTACCTTGGAAGAAGAAGAAAAGCAATGCACCCATCTCATACATTACATCACCAGACTGAGCAGACATGAAGATGATAACTCTCCATCCCAACTGTGCAGAGAGGCATTTCTCAAAGTACTAGTTTAACTCCCCCAGTCACTTATTTCTGCATCCAATGTGCCACTGCTGTACATAGTGCATGGCAAGCTATTTACTAAATGCCACCCCCTCCATCTTCACTTTCCAATAGTCTATTTCTCTGACATATGAACAGATAGCTGAACCAGGACTGAACCCATATTGGAGCTGGACAAGCACCCACTGAAGCCAGATCCTATAAAGTAAACCTGCACTACCTGTGGCCTTCTTGGTGTTTTGGACTTCAGTTCCCAGAATTCATGACCATTGGACGAGCTAGCAAGGGCTTTCTGGAGTTGGGAGTCTCAAACACCTGGAGGGCCACTGGTTGTGTAGGTCTGTTGTAAAACCGTGAACCACAGAAAAGCTTTAAGGCTTATTCCGAATATCCAGTCTAAGCAATCCAAAGGCATTGTGCCAACCATCAATGCCAATGTTTCTTACTGTGTCCAACAAAGGTTAAGCGTATCTCGTGGCATATCCTGTTCCTTGGTGTAGAGCCCCAAGATCAACAAAGTTTCCACTTCAAGTTCATTACTCAAATGGTACATTTAGCATAAGAGGAAGAAAAATGAAGAGAACTTGACACTAGGGGCAGATTGAAACAAAGGAAGGAAAACATATTGATTCAGCATATTACAATTTGACCAACAGGAAACAACAAATCGCCTTGGAGGCACTTACAGTGACTGCACAGAAGATGGGAGTGATGTGCCAGTGAAGAATCTCTACACATCCCGTTATACTGAGCAGGTATATTCACGAACCTTATCCATAATCTTAAACTTGTCCCAAGTATGGCTTATTCTGACTGCAGATCTATCAAGATCAGTTTGCCAGGGGATTGTCAATATTGGTTGGCAACCAACATGTGTTGGAGCTCAGCCTGTGATTGTGTTTCAGGATCAGGGTGCTTTGGATGTGGGGAGTGATGTCAATGAGTTTCAGGGCAATAGTTTGGTCAATGATATTGATGCAGAGAATGAAGAGGTAATCCCTGTTCAAAGTGTAGTTTCCCATGAAAATGTCCCTGAAGGGTGTGGGGATGATGGTGTATTCCCCGAATTGCTACCAGAGAGTTCCCAGGATTTGGGGCTTGAAAACAACTCAGCACCTAGAGAAGTAATGAGCACATAGATAGCCAGCAGGAAATTAGTCAAAACAGACAATCCAAACAGTGGCTTCGGCGTTCTGCCAGGCTCCGACAGAAAAAGATAAGGGAATCTCAATTAAAGCGAAACCAATTTCTGAGTGCTTGGGATAGCTTAATGAGGTGATAAAAGTCCCAAGTATGGGAAATGTAGCCAGATGAAGCATTGTTTGGAATAAAGTTAAGTTTTTGTCCTTGTTTTATGGAAGCCTAGCCTGGAAGATTCATGCTTAAGTATGGCTTTGATTCTTGGATTTTATGACTACATACTCATGCCTTGGATTAATGTTTCCTGGTTTTCTGGATTATATTAGAGAAGTGTGGACTTTGTTTTCATGGACTTTGCTGAACTTTACCCTGAACTATTTTGTTGCTGCTTATCTTCTTACCTAATTGGATTTACCTATTTCTTTAAAGTGCTTTTTATTTTGGTACTTTGTAATTATCTCCAATAAAAGGATTGTTTTCCTATCCAACATGTGGTATTTAAAGTCAGAGGGCTTTTCCTGACCTAGAGTGCAACAACATGGATGTAGCGTACCTGGATTTCAGTAAGGCCTTTGACAAGGTCCCCCATGACCTTCTGGCAAGGAAATTAGTCCAATGTGGGCTAGGCAAAACTACGGTGAGGTGGATCTGTAATTGGTTAAGTGGACGAACACAGAGAGTGCTCACTAATGCTTCCTCTTCATCTTGGAAAGAAGTGACGAGCGGAGTGCCGCAGGGTTCCCTCCTGGGCCCGGTCCTGTTCAACATCTTTATTAATGACTTAGATGAAGGGCTAGAAGGCAGGATCATCAAGTTTGCAGACGACACCAAATTGGGAGGGATAGCCAATACTCCAGAGGACAGGAGCAGAATTCAAAACGATCTTGACAGATTAGAGAGATGGGCCAAAACTAACAAAATGAAGTTCAGCAGTGACAAATGCAAGATACTCCACTTAGGCAGAAAAAAGGAAATGCAAAGAGACAGAATGGGGGACACCTGGCTCGACAACAGTACATGTGAAAAAGGACTTGGAGTCCTCGTGGACAGGAGGCAACCATGTGATGTGGCAGCTGAAAAAGCCAATGGGATTTGGCCTGCATCAATAGGAGCATAGTGTCTAGATCTAAGGAAGTCATGCTACCCCTCTATTCTGCTTTGGTTAGACCACACCTGGAATATTGTGTCCAATTCTGGGCACCAATTCAAGAGAGATATTGACAAGCTGGAATGTGTCCAGAGGAGGGCGACTAAAATGATCAAGGGTCTGGAGAACAAGCCCTATGAGGAGCGGCTTAAGGAGCTGGGCATGTTTAGCCTGAAGAAGAGAAGGCTGAGAGGAGATATGATAGTCATGTATAAATATGTGAGAGGAAGCCACAGGGAGGAGGGAGCAAGCTTGTTTTCTGCTTCCCTGGAGACTAGGACGCGGAACAATGGCTTCAAACTACAAGAGAGGAGATTCCATCTGAACATGAGGAAGAACTTCCTGACTGTGAGAGCCGTTCAGCAGTGGAACTCTCTGCCCCGGAGTGTGGTGGAGGCTCTTTGGAAGCTTTTAAACAGAGGCTGGATGGCCATCTGTCAGGGGTGATTTGAATGCAATATTCCTGCTTCTTGGCAGGGGGTTGGACTGGATGGCCCATGAGGTCTCTTCCAACTCTTTGATTCTATGATTCTATGATTCTATTAACATGTTCTTTTCCCCACCCCATTCCTAGGTCTGCATTCGTTCCTGTTTTCAGATTAGCATAGTGGAACGGTGCGGCTGTGGCCACTTTTTCTACCCTTTGCCTCCTGGAGCAGTTTATTGTGACTATGCTAAACACAAAGCTTGGGGTAAGTACAAACCAAAGACCACAAGCCCATTTCATCCTGTTGGAAATAGCAACCTTCTACAAGCCTCCTATACTAGTTATTTGTTATGTATATAATACAGATTGCTTCCTATATTGTATGTATATTTTGATATGCAGTTTTCCCTTAACTCTATGTTGTTTGAGATTGTGGGAGGGACGACAGACCATGTGACTAGATCTGGGACTAGTCAAACTGAGACTCTATTTTAGAAGTCAGAATTTGCATCAGAAACAGTACAATTTAGAAGTCAGTAATGTCAGTATGCCCCACTGTGTAGTCAGTCTGTATTTAGTCAATGTTCAGTAGTATATTAAACTGAAGAGAGTGTTAATCTGTATGCAACAAAGAAGAGACTGAAACAGAATACTTTAGAGAACTTACTATTTAAACTATCAACCAATAAGAGATGTACCTATATACTGAATACATGAAGTTTGTGAGTAAATCAACTATGTTACTTTTAATGAAGACAACCTATTTAAAACAGTGGTTCCAAACCATTTTTTGACCAGGGACCACTTGATCTAGGACCACTCTCCAACATTAGTACCAAAAGGGTTACGAATCAGTTTTTGATCAACTTTAGATTTGGTTTGGTTATTTGGAGTGCTGATTCAGAAAATTGCATTGGATAGACCACATCAGCTATAGTTTCTGATGCAGAACATATGCCATCCAGTAGTCGCTATCTACTCGCCCACAGGAAACCATTATTTAATAAGCCTCAGCACTATAAGAGGGTTTCACAAGACCAGTCGCTCTTGTTGCAACAGTGTATTTGTGGTGAGGCTGTGGACCATATTTTATTTCTTACGAACCACTGATGGTCCATAGACCACAGATTGGGAACCACTGATTTAAAAGAAATCTATTTTATGGGAGATTAGATGTTTTGGGCAACTGAAATAATACTTCTGAAGAGCTGCTGTATATTTTGTGCATTGACATATCTTTGTTCCTAACAGTTCAGAGATAACCAGGAAAATCGGTCTAATAACTGAGAAACCTAATTTGCCTTGCATGAATGCTAGTGGATATTTATCACTAAGGAAAAGATGTACGCAAACGAGTATTTAACTCTTCTCAAGAAGATCATACTTTACAAAAGGGTTATGATTATTCCAAATAGTGTGAATGCCAATTAATCTCCAAAAGGATCATGCTTTCAAAAGGCTATGGTTTTCCAAAAGGTTATGATCTCTAAAAGGTCATACCTTTCCAAAACATACTTCAACATATCCTATTCCCTAGATCAGGGGAGGAAATGATACATGAATCCAGATGTAGCCAAATTGAGACCTATGGCTCTCTGCACTAGTATAAGCTGTCTAGGGCAGTGTTGCTCAAACAGTGCTCCTCCAGGAGTTTTGGACTTCCGCTCTCAGAAATCCCAGCCAGCTTACCAACTGTTAGGAATTGTGGGAGCTGAAGTTCAAAATATCTGGAGCATAGTTTGAGAAATTCTGGTTTACAGCATAATCCCATGCATGCATTTTGATAGCAATCATTAATATAAATTTGTTTCCTACTTAGGTTACTGTTATTACAAACTCCTGGCTGAATTTAAGGCAGACTTACTGGGCTGTTTCACAAAATGTCGGAAACCTTGCAAGTAAGTTGGCTTCAAAACTTGCAGAGTTGCATTCCTAGACCTGGTCAAATTCCAGAGAGCTTGCTTGGTCTTCTGTGAAATGAAGAAAAACAGGATTTGTACCCAACACATCATTCTGTGCTAGCCTCCCAAATTTCATTGCAATAGTGAGTTCTTAAGCCAAAGGTTTTACTACAATTCCTGTAATGTAAAAGGGAGACGGCCCCTTCTGCAACTTCTGATGAGCTTCTAGTAAGCTATTTCCTCATTTCATGATTATAGTCACAATATAACAACCATGTATTGTAGACTGCAGCATTAATGTACTATATTAGAAAATGATAGTACCACAGTTGTCCTGGATTTTTATTTTGACTTTACCATGTCACACATCTGGAACAACAGGCTGGTGTAGTGGCTCAAGTGGTGGGCGAAGGCTCTGGAAGAACAGGGCTCACATCCCCACTGAGCTACAGAAAGCCTCTTGGTGATGTTAGGCAAATCACACACTCACACATGAAGAGGGGGAAAATTGCAAACCTCTTCTGGATCAATCTTGCCAAGTAAACCCTAGGAGAGAGTTGGTAAAGTGCATTTAACTTGAAGGCACTTAACAGAAAAATCATACAGCCTGAGGTCATTTTAGATTAGGTTGGAAATAGCAACCTTCTACAAATCTCCTATACTAGTCATTTGTTATGTATATAATTGTGATTGCTTACTATATTGTACTAGCTGTACCTGCCATGTGTTGCTGTAACCAATCTTCCCTACCTCTTTCTCTCCTTCTTCCCTTCCTTCCTTTGCTCCCTCTTTCCTTCCTTCCTTCCCTTTTTTTCTTTCCTTCTCTCCTTCCTTCTCCACCTCTTTCTTTCCTCCCCCTTTTTCTTTTCCTCCCTCTTTCTCTACTTTCTTCCTTCTCTACCTCTTTCCTTCCTTCATTCATTCTCGCTTTCCTTCTTTCCCACCCATTTTCTCTCCTTTCTTTCTTCTTTCTTCTCTCCTCTTCCCTCCCTCTTTTCTTCCCTTTTTTTCTGTATTATCATTTAGCTTTTTCGTCATTTAGCTTTTTGGGTTTTAAGTCCTTTCTGCTGTTTTGGGGGGGGGGGGGTTTATGAGTGATGGTCACTCGTTGGCTGTTAGGGGTGTAGTGTCCAAATCTTGTGTCAATTAATACAGTGGTTTTTGAGTTACATTACTCTCACAAATGAACATTACATTTTTATTTATATAGATGTATGTGATTTAGTATGCGGTTTTCCCTTAACTCTATGTTGTTTGAGGTTGTGGGAGGGACTGCAGACCATGTGACCAGATCTGGGACTATTCAGACTGAGACTCCATTTTAGAAGTCAGTTTTACTTCAGAAGCAGTACAGTTTAGAAGTCAGTCTTTATTGAGTCAATGTTCAGTAATGTATTAGACTGAGGAGAGTGTTAGTCTGTACGCAACAAAGATGAGATTGAAACAGAATGCTTTAGAGAACTTAGTGTTTAAACTTTCAACCGCTAAGAAATGTACCTGTGTGCTGAATAAATTAAGTCTGTAAGTAAATCAATGATGTTACTTTTAACAAGGACTACTTATTTTTGGTGTCTTGAGAGCATGATTTAAAACAAAATATATTTTATGGGAGAGAACTGTAGGTTTTTTTCTCGCAGTGGGTTAAACCACTGAGCTGCTGAACTTGCTGACTGAAAGGGCAGCAGTTTGAATACAGGGAGCGGGGTGAGCTCCCACTATCAGGCCCAGCTTCTGCCAACCTAGCATGCAAATGTGAGTGGATCAACAGGTACCACTTCAGCTGGAAGATTACGGCGCTCCATGTAGTCATGCTGGCCACATGACCTAGGAGGTGTCTATGGACATGTCAACTCTTCAGCTTAGAAATGGAGATGAGCACCAACCCCCAGAGTCAGACACAACTAGACTTAATGTCAGAGGAAAACCTTTACCTTTTTAAAAATGTTTTTGGACAATTGAAATAACATTTCTCAAGATCTGCTATATATTTTGTGCATTGGCATATCTTTGTTCCTAACAGTTCAGAGAGATAACCAGGTATATCAGTCTAACAACTGAGAAGCCTAATTTGCCTTGCATGAATACTAATGGATATTTACCACGAAGAAGATTCACTCAAACAATTACTTAACTCTTCTCAGGAAGATCACACTTTACAAAAAGGTTATATGATTGTTCCAAATAGTGTGGATGTCAATTAATCTCCAAAAGGGTCACGCTTCCAAAAGGCTATGGATATTCCTGGTTTCATGAAAGGTTATGGTCTCTAAAAGGTCATGCCTTCCCAAAATAAACTGTCAAGGGATGAGCCAAGCCACCACATAACACATTTTCTGATAAATGCCAGGTGTAAAGGTGTTTTGTGGTGCTAATATTCCTCTAAATCTCTCTATGCTATTCTTCAGGGTGACGGAGTACCAGCTCTCAGCTGGCTATTCACGCTGGCCTTCTACTGCATCTGAGGTAAGGCACTGGTTTTCTGACTGTATGCACTTTTACCTGGGACCCACTGTTTCACATAAATACAGCAGAATCGCAGTGCTAGTTCTTAAAACGAAAACCCCTTGGGGAGAAGGATGCCACGAAGAACAGGAATGTAACACACTTCTTAAATGCACTGGGAGAAAAAGCCATTTGAGGCTGGCAATTTGGAGCACAGAAATGGGGAGCCCTTCATCTCCCATCACTCATACGCTCTTATTTTCCATTTTAAGAAGACAGGCTTTGGAATTCCACTGGCTGCCAATTTGCTACCAAGCCCAATTCAAAGTGCTGGCTTTAGCCTATAAAGCCCTAAACCAGTGGTTCTCAACCTGGGGGTCCCCAGATGTTTTTGGCCTACAACTCCCAGAAATCCCAGCCAGTTTACCAGCTGTTGGGGTTTCTGGGAGTTGAAGGTCAAAAACATCTGGGGACCCCAGGTTAAGAACCACTGCCCTAAACAGTTCCGGCCCAGCTTACCTGTTCGAACGTATCTCTCTTTACAAACCATCCAGGAATTGAAGATCATCTGGGGAGGCTTTGCTCTCAATCCCGCCTTCATCGCAGGCGTGGTTGGCGGGGATAAAAGACAGGGCCTTCTCAGTGGTGGCCCCTCGGCTGTGGAACTCCTTTCACAGCGATATTAGATAGACCCCCTCCCTCCTGATCTAGCTCTTCAAGCAGGCTTTTGGTAACACAGTGTAATTGGATAAATACAGTATGATGAAATAACGAACACAGAACGGCTCAGACGATGCAAATGGATAAGGAGTTGAACTGATAGACATTAATTATTATAGTTTTGATTAGTAGGGTTGTTTGATCCCCAAAAATGGTTCAAAACTTGTTTCAGGTGTAGGGGGCGCTGGTGGTTCAATTCTAAAGTCAAATCCGATTTTCACAGGAAAAAAAATTTCAAAACTTTTCGAAACTTCTGAGACTTCCGAATCCTTTTGTTAATGGTTTGAAAGTGTTATTTCCTGTTTCATTGGGTGGTCTTTACTTTGAAAGTAGTTGTTTTACTCCAGGAGCGGGGGAAAGCAAGCAAATGATATTCCTTCCTCCTCCAGTTTAAAACTGGCTTCTCTGGCTTGAGGAAGAGGGAGGAAATTCAGCCTTCCCTGGTTTAAAACTGGCTTCTCTGGCTTGAGCCAGAAGCAGGGAAAGCAAAGGGAGGAAATTCAGCCTTAAAACTGGTTTAAACCTGGCTTCTCTGGCTTGAGCCGAGGCCAGGGACCAGAATAATTTCCAACTCACTTCCTGAGTTAGAAGAAAAATGGCGAGACTAGCTTCAGAAGGGCAAAGGGACTTCCGGTTTCCTAAAAAAGTTCAAAATTGCTTCAAAAAGGTAATTATTTCAAATTTATTCCAAATTATGATTTCGACTGGACCTAACCATGCCTCTTAATTAGTTTTATATGGATTTTTATTATGTGATATTAAATGTTTTTAATTGATATGTATGTATGTATGTTTATGGCATCTAACTGTTGTCAATCTGTACATTACCCTCAGTCGGCTTCAGGCTGAAAAGAGTGGGATAAAACTGCTGTAAATAAAATAAATAAATAAATAAATAAATAAACAGTAACATGCAATTCTGTATACCTAGTATTTATTTCCTGAAGTGCTCCTGCTGCCCTCTATCTATACCACTTTAAAACTGTGTTCTGTCAATTCCAGGCCTGGGTGTTCCACATTCTCTCCCGGCAGAATCAGTACAACATCACATCCAAAAGGTAAGGCCGCCACCTGCTGTCCAAAATAAGCATTGCGTACTCAAGATTAAACTCACCCATAGGGATAAAGGCGCGTAGATGTCAAGACTGGATAGGTTCAGCATGGAAGACATAATTTAGCATCTGCTCTTGAGATAAGTTATATATGCCAGAGGGGGGATGTAAGTACATTACAGGAAATGCTTGGGGAAAAGCTTAAGTTTTGTCTTTTAAACAGAGGCTGGATAGCCTTCTGTCGGGGGTGCTTTGATTGTGCTTTTCCTGCATGGCAGGAGGTCAGACTAGATACGGTCTCTTCCAACTATATTATTCTAAGTTCAATTGTTTGAATTAGATGCATCATTTATGGAGGTATGAAGGAAATATCTGGTGCAAAAAGCAATGCAACAATCTATTTCCCACAAAATTTTGCAAATTGCTTTGATCAGTAAGGAGACATAGTTGCTCATAATAGTACTTTGCAAGCCCAATATGAAATCTGAATTGACAGTCAAATCACTTTTAAATGTTGTAAAGGTAAAGGTTTCCTATTAATATTAAGTATAGTCGTGTCTGACTCTGGGGTTGGTGCTCATCTCCATTTCTAAGCTGAAGAGCCGGCATTGTCTATAGACGCCTCCAAGGTCATGTGGCCATCAAGACTGCATGGAGTGCCATTACCTTCCCGTAGAAGCAGTTCCTATTGATCTACTCATATTTGCATGTATTCAAACTACTAGTTTGGCAGAAGCTAGGGCTAACAGCAGGAGCTCACCCCGCTCCCCAGATTCGAACCACCAACCTTTCAGCCAGGAAGTTCAGCAGCTCTGCAGTTTAACCTGCTGCACCACCAGGGGCTCTATATGTTTACTGTATGACAATGCATGACAGAGTGATTTAAGATAAAATTGGAATGCTAGTACTGTATATCAGAGTCAAATAATAGCTAGTAATATTTTGGAAAGCTATTGTAGACTGAAATTTACTCAATCCCTCTTTGATTGCCAGAAACGGAGTTGCCAAGGTGAATATCTTTTTTGAGCAGTGGAATCATAAAAGCAACGGGGAGTCTCCCGCTTTTACAGTAAGTATTCGTTTCACATTATCACCAATTGCTAAACTCAACTAGTCACTTCTTTCCAGGATGAAGAGCAACAGTTGGTTAACACCCTTGGAGTTCAAAGTAGGGCTCCACAAAGCATACTTAGAGGCTACACTGTTCCCTCCTCCTCTTCCCTGCTCCCAGCTTTCCTTCCTCTTTCCTGCTCCGCAACCCCCATGCCTCACTTGCCACCAAAAGCCTTCTTTTCTCACTTCCCACACCCTCAAAAGCCTTTTTCCCTCAGCTCCCTCACACCCAAAGCCTTTTTTTCTCACTTCTCCTGCCCATAGAAGCCTTTTTCCTTGCCTCCTTCACCCCCAAAAGTCAATTTTCCTTGCTATCCTCACCCCCAAAAGCCATTTTTTCCTCACTTCCCTCAACCCCAAAGCCTTTTTTCCTCATCTTCCTTGGTACCCAGATTCTTTCCCCCCTGCCTTCCCTTCTTCTAGAACCTTATTTCCCTCCCATTGCTCAGAGGTGGTTTCATTCTGCTATTGCTACATAGCAGGAGGAGGTTGGATTGTGTGGCTCCTGGGATATTCCACTGAAATACTGTTAAGTTTATGTTGGTCAAAAAGTTTGCCCGTGCTGGATATATATGCATTACATATAATATATAATATATAAACATTTATTGGGGCTCCACAAGAAACTTTTGCTCCATAAAAGGGCTCTGTGGCTGAAAAGGTTTGAGAACCCCTAGCTTAACCAATTACAAATCCACCTTGCAGTTGTATTGTCTAGCCCACATTTTATCAATTTGTTTGCAAGATCAAGGGGGACCTTGTCAAAGATCTTATTGAAATCAAGGTATGCTACATCCACAGCATTCCCTACATCTACCTAGCTTGAAACTCGGTTCATAAATCCTTAAAAAATTTGGACAATCAATGCTAGCATTTTGCAAGCAAAGATATTGCACACTCATACAATTTGCCGTATGCAATAGCCAGTGTTCAGGAACAGTCACATCCCACCAATTTGTCCTGAATTATTATATACTAATGTTGTCATTCAATAAATCAAGGCATATGATAAAGAGCAATTTGGTTTTTGAAACACAAGTGTTTAACTTGCCATCAAATCTAAACACAAACTCAAAGTTTCAGGATGTTACTTTGATTACAACTGCTGTATATATGCAACTTTCAAATGGAAAGTTATGTCCTGTTTTTTGAAACACAAGTGTTTAGCTTGCCATCAAATCTGAACATAAACTAGGAGTTTCCGGATGTTACTTTGATTATTGCTGTATATATGCAGCCTTCAAATGGAAAGTTACATCATGTTATAGGTAGGCTGGATGTTGTGTTGCTCCTTCATAGAACAGACACTAAAAGTCTAGTGGACACACAAATGACAAGCTAGGCAGATCCCAAAGGAAGGAAGCATCACTATTCCTTTTAATAGCTCATCTACTGAGAAAGAGGTTTTGTTAACTTTTTACCAAAAAAATCTTCACCTTTTGCTCTTTATTGTGTAGGTGGTCACACTGCTTTCACAGCTGGGGAGTCAATGGAGTCTTTGGTTTGGTTCATCCGTCCTCTCAGTTGTAGAGCTCGCAGAACTGATTTTGGATTTTATTGCCATCACCTGCATTCTGGCATTCCACTGGCTGAAAATGAATCAATCACCTGACCTTCCTATTCCCACCAGCAACACCACTGATACGTTTCATGAGCAGTTGCCTCCTCTTGACACTCCACCACAAGCCTCTGTGGATGCTGATATTATTACACTGCCATCCTACAAGAGCTTGGAGTCACTAGACCTACACAGAGTTTCCTCCCAGCAGACCGAGTGAGTTCTGGACCAACATGGCTTGCAGCTCCATTGAAGTACATTAAAGCTGGAAGATTTTGTGGCCATGGACTCAATTGGCCAGCTGTATGTGCTGACCCCCAGTGAACAAAGATGGTTCAAGATCTTTTGTAAAGGTTGCAGTGTGGCATTATAGCACAGACCACACTCCGTGGATTGGAATCTCTATTCTTCACCTGTGTTGTATGCAATCTGCTGTAGGAAACACCAGCACCACACTGAAGGAGAAAGCAAGGACACCCCAGGGTGTCCTCGTGCTTAGCACATCCAAGCCACAAGCCCAGGTGAATCCCAAAAGTATCATCTTACATTTGGAACCAAACCACCGTCTCTCTGCTACTTGCAGATGCACCAGGGAGCTTGTGGAAACAGGAAGGTAGTATTAAAAGAGCTACAATAGCAAGAAAACTTAACCATGTATTATGGAGCTTATGAAAAAAATTATATTAAATATTTTAGTCTTTACAGTGAAGTGAACCTCTCAAGGGGAGAGGAGATACCATATCTGAGCCAAAAGTTTAGAGGACTCTTTTGTTCAACACAACTTTATGGGAATTTGTTGTTTATATCCCTACTTTCCTCTAAGGCAGCGTTTTTCAACCTGGGGAAGGTCACATGGGGGTTTTAGAGGGGTCGCCAAAGACCATCAGAAAACATATATTTCTGATGGTCTTAGGACACCTTTGGCAGAAAAGGCTGAAGATCTCTCCACCTGTCCTTCTCTTCCTTTTTGAAAACAGACAGGGAATCCTCCCACCAAAAGCTCTCCTTCACTGTGATTGGCTAGCCTCTCAACCAAGGGAAGGGCTGTTTCTGAGACTCTTAAGCAGGGAGGGGAGAGCAGGCAGGTGTGATTGGCGCATAGCAGTGTGGTGCACATGCACAGGTGAGGGAGAGCGTATGGGGATCAAAAGAGGCTCACATCAGTGAGTCCCTTAAAGGTATGGGGCTTACACTTCTGGCCCAATTCTACCTTTGATAGGGTTCAGAAGGCTCTTTGATTGTAGGTGAACTATAAGTCCCAGCAATTACATCTCCTAAATGTCAAGGTCTATTTTCCCCCGAAGTATTCCTGCCAAGTTTGGTCCAGATCCATCATTGTTTGAGTCCACAGTGCCCTCTGGATGTGGGTGAACTGAACTACAACTCCAAAACTCAAGGTCAATGCCCACCAAACCAGTATTTTCAGTATTTTCTGTTGGCCATGGGAGTTCTGTGTGCCAAGTTTAGTTTAATTCCATCACTGGTGGAGTTCAGAATGCTCTTTGATTGTAGGTTAACTATAAATTCCAGCAACTACAACTCCTAAATAGGAAAATCAATCCCCCACCCCAGCCCCACCAGTATTCAAATTTGGGCGTATCGGGTATTGTGCCTAATTTGGTCCAATGAATGAAAATACATCCTGCATATCAGGTATGTACATTATGATTCATAACAGTAGCAAAATTACAGTTATGAAGTAGCAACAAAAATAATGTTGTGGTTGGGGGTCACAACATGAGGAACTGTATTAAGGAGTAGCAGCATTAGGAAGGTTGAGAAACACTGCTGTAAGGAAAGCTGGCTTACAAATTTCTCTTTCCTGATTCAATCCCCATAAGTTCAGATTCAGCAGGGAGACAGTGGCTAATTCAAGGTCCCTACATGGCTGAGGGGGGTGCGTCAATCCTTCTGACATTATTCAAATTCATGTTGACAACACTATCTTCTATAAAGCTAAAACCCTCAAGAATACACTTACCTAAGTTTGATCCAAACCATTCCCCAAAACCAAGCTGTCATGATATTTTCACTGGTCCGACTCAATTTTGTTTCAAATCATACAAGATACACTCCATACGGTCTTCTACACAGTGTCATGTCCAGGAAACTCTCAAAGGAAACAAACTCTGTGGTGCTGTTTTCCTATAATTCATTATTTTCATTTACTGATGAACAGAGGAAAGTCCTCAAGTTTTGTTTTGCTTGTTTGTTATTAAACTATGATGTCTCTAAAGGGCACTTAAGTAGGTTTCAGATCATTTTCCCTTTTCTAATGATTAAATGAGAACATTAAAAAGGTAGAAAAAGGTAATAGGAGTATAAGCCATTTGCATTTCAAATGTTACTGCAAGAACCACTTACCTGTGCAAGACAGTCAGAATCCAGTAAACAGCAGTGTTCCACCAAGCTCCATCAACTCTTCTGTATTTAACTTTCAAAACTAGCATCAAAAGTCTTCTGTGCACACCCCTTTAATTTCCAAAGTATATTAGTCTCATTTAACTGACCTTTGCTTATCCAACATTCTGCCTTATCCGATGGAAGGATATGGAAGGCCTTCTTTGAAAAAGTCAATTTTTAATTGTTCAAAATGCATAAAGTTATGGCTGAACTACAATTCACACCATGCCATATTAACCCCTTGAAACTCCATCAATATGTATTTAAAGGCCTCTCCTGTCCTCTTTGCTTTGCACCAGCCGGGGCGCACAGCCTTTAGCCATGACCACCAGGATGAAAACGTGGCACAGGGAAAAGGGAATGAAGCAGGTGCTCCTGGGAGGAAGGGCCCTCCTTTTCTTCTCGCCCCCTTTCCCAATTGTTAACCCCCTCCAAAAAGCTTGCAAACTCTACCCAAAGAGAGAGAGCCACACACACTTTTCCTTGGTGCACATTCAGTAAAAGGATGGCGCATGGCTCCCAGATGGAAGAAAGAAGCAGAAGGGATCCAGAAGGAGATCAGGTAGCCAAGATCTTGGCTTTGGAATTTCCCAAGAATCCAAGAAACCTTTTTAAAAGCCCCTTTAAAAAAGAGGCGCACGTGTTGACTATCCCTCCGTATTATCCGACATTTTTGTTTATCTGACGTTCTGCTGGCCCATTTACGTCGGATAAACAAGACTCTACTGTTCTTTTCAGCACCCCCTTCCCTATATATATATATATATATATATATACACACACACACACACACACACACATATATATATATATATATATAGAGAGAGAGAGAGAGAGAGAGAGAGAGAGAGTAATGCAGGCACTGGTAGAGTTCCACATAGCATGTTTATGCTGGCAAAGAACAAGACCTCATCCAATTTCAAGACTTTTTTCTTGGGATTGGGCTTGCCTACAGCCCCAAATCTGTTGTAGTGCTGACACAGTATCATATATGCATACATGCACACACACTAGAAACATGGTGACTCCTTGGGTGGACTTTCCACCTTCTATTCATCATTAACTGTTTTTGAGATCATTCAGTAATATTTGCAACTTGCCACCGTAAGACATTAGTAGTTGTTTAGCATGCCGAAATGGCTGAAGTCAACATATTACCAGGATCCCTTTCTCTTTTTGCCAGGCACTTCCTATACTAAGTCCACCATGAAACCTGAGTATCAGTCGCTTTTTTAAGGATTAGTTATTCTTGTGATAACAATGCAGCTATGATGACTGAACACATATACAGTGTTCCCTTGCTACTTCGCGGTTTGTTTTTAGCAGACTTACTGTTTTGCGGGTTTTTGAAAATATTAATAAAAAATAAAAAATATTAAATATTTATGTCCTGTGGAGGCCAGGGAGGCCAGGGACCCCGGAAGTGCGGCGGCCTGAGGCACAGCAGGGAAGGCTTGCCTCCCTGGCCTCCACAGACCCCAGAAGTGTGGTGGCCTGAGACGTGGCAGGGAAGGCCTGCCACTGCCTGCGTGGCTCCAGAGGGTCTGCAGAGGCCAGGGAGGCACCCTTGCAATGGGCCAGGAGGTGGGTAAAGAAGCACAGATAAGAAAATATATAAAACATATAAAATAATGTATAAATATTAAAATATGGCATCCCTACTTCGCAGATTTTCACTTATCATGGGTGGTCCTGGAACAGAACCTCCACAATAAGTGAGGGAACACTGTACACTTTAATGGCTTCGTCTGACAATTTAGATATACAAGTATAGTAGCAGATCACTATATTCTATGTGGTCTTCTGGAGGTACTTTTATTAGAAGGCTATTATTTTTTAGGCAGTTTTCCAAGTTGCAACGTTTTCCTGCTCTAGCAATTCAAGACTTGCATAAGGACAGGTTGTCTTCTTCTATGTAAGAGTGGACACACACATGTATGGATATGTAACACACACAATCAATCACCTAATATACCTCACAACCTCTGAGGATGCCTGCCATAGATGTGGGCAAAATGTCAGGCGAGAATGTTTCTGAAACATGGCCATACCACCCAGAAAACTCACAACAACCCAATCAAGTAATAGCCCGCTATATCATACACTACAGCTGGGGTGATTATATTGAATGGTTTAATGTATTATATGACAGTTATGATTCCAGTGTATTTGTAGCAAAACACTTGCCATTTTAAATCAGTGCAGGACAGATAGTAGAGAAAGTACATACATTGTATGGAAGAGAAATAAAGAAGACATCCTTCTGCCATGTAATGATGAGTCGACAAGGGCAGCTTCAGGCAGCAACGTTTCGGTGAGGACATGGGTATCAGACACAGACACAATGGTCCTGCTTTAATTGGTCCTGTCATCTCTGTGAGCCAGACAACAGTTTTGCTCTGACTTTGGTACTCACCAATGTATACAGGAGCTACAGAAGACTTTCAGTGCCATTCCCACACTGACAGGTAACAAGGACAGCAGTGAGACAAGGAATTGCGACGTACACAAAGCATAGCAGACCCAAACAGCTTTTCTCTCCCTTTTTTTGTAAAATGCCTGCTTGCATTTTTTATTATTAAAACAGAAATGGTTCAAAGTAGGTTAGATGGGCGGAGGGGAAATTGTGGCCCTCCAGCTGCTATCAGCTTCTACCTTCCATCATACCTATCAGTAGAGACAATGAGGAAAGGTGATGGGAGTTGCAACCCAAAAACATTTCAGGGGACACAACCTTCCCCCAGAGTCAGATTTTAAGTAAGTGGATGCATAAATATTCTCCTCCCATTCCTTCCAGTTATGCTTCAGCTCCTGAACTGGAGGACAAAAGGTAACAGAACACACAAGAGCTGGCCTCAGAAATGTCATATTTTTACTTAGACCTGCTTGCTTTTCATGGAAGGGGAAGTAGTTCGGTCGGGTTCAGATCGAATAAAAACAGACGTTTCCCTCTCAAGGGAAAGGCCTTCAGCATTCACTTGAGTAGTGATAGAGAAACAAGACACTTGGACCCTCTTGACTGCAGCTTCTCAGATACTAGTGTCAAATATTTCCCCTCTCTGAAGGAAAACCAAATTAGGAAAACTACAATGCCAAGGATTTGCTTATCTAAATGCCATTTATTCTAGCTATAAGGACGGTTTTATGGAAGTTAGTTGCTTGTGTGAAGGAAATAGGATGTGCATGATGCCAGTAAGGTAAGAGCAAAGTGGAGACGTAGATGTGCTAATCAGGGCTTGCGCTACCTGGGGCATTATCACAGCTTCTATAGCTGTTAATCGTATCCGGCTCTTAAGTTTTCCAAGGCCAGCCTTTGGGCATGTGCACATGTAAGACGGAATGCAGCTCAGTACTAAAGGAACTCCTTCCACCAAGGAGCAGGGATATCTACAACCTTTTAAGGAGGAAGGCAGCAATGGCACAACAATGCCAATGCAGCAAGGAACACTGGCATAGCTGCACCATGCTTGTAGGCTCTTCTAAGCCCCTCATGGTGTCACACTATGTATCTGAGAGCTACCAAAACATAGCTTTCAGGTGGTATCACAGAGCCCCCCAGTGGTGCATTGGGTTAAACCCTTGTGCCGGCAGGACTGCTGACCAAAAGGTCAGCGGTTCAAATTCAGGGAGTGAAGAGAGCTCCCATTTGTCAGCCCTAGCTTCCCATGCAGGGACATGAGAGAAGCCTCCCACAGGATAGTAAACATCCAGGCGTCCCCTGGGCAACATCCGTGCTGATAACCAATTCTCTCACACCAGAAGCGACTTGCAGTTTCTCAAGTCACTTGCAGGCTCTTCTAAACCCCTCATGGTGTCACATTATGTACCTGAAAGTTATTAAATCATACCTTTCAGGTGGTATCACGGAGCCTCCAGTGGCACAATGGGTTAAACCCTTGTGCCGGCAGGACTGCTGATTAAAGGTTGGTGGTTTGAATTCAGGAAGTGGGGAGAGCTCCCATCTGTCAGCTCTACCTTCCCATGCAGGGACATGAGAGAAGCCTCCCACAGGATGGTAAACATCCAGGTGTCCCCTGGGCAACATCCTTGCTGACGACCAATTCTCTCACACCAGAAGTGACTTGAAGTTTCTCAAGTCGCTCCTGGCATGGAAAAAAAAGTGGTATCATGTGCTATGTTTCATGCCCAATTATTTTAGCCTAGCTGCTTCTGCATTACTGTAAAATGCAAGCAGGGCCTTACTTTCCCTCCAATATCCAGACAGACAAACCGGATTCATTTAGGTGGTAAAGAAGTGCGTGTTAGCCAAAGTTGTTTAAGAGTACATGAGCTGGTAGATAGATACACATGCTAAGAGGAAAGGTTACAGCTGCGTTCCTCACAAGGGGAGACCACACGCGCGTGAGAAAGCGGCTGAAGTCCTGTGCATAGAGAAAGTAGTCCCTTGCTGTAGGCACAGAGGGCAGGGTGGGTGGGGGGAGCTTTTGCCCATGCATAAAGAGATGGAGCAGTGGAGTGGGAGAAGGAGGAAGAGGTGCAACATACAACGTTCATGAGAACAGATACACACACACAAAAAGCAGCCAGGAGAACGTCTCTCAATAAAGATGCCAGGAGATCAAACCAAGATCTTGTCCAGAAGAGATCAAGAGAGGCCTCAATATCTTACTGTGGTTCCTTCTCCCACTGACTGTAGTGGCACTGCCGTCAACCGGACCCTGGCTCCTCTTCAGGTGTTGAACTCAGACTGCTCAATTCCACTGAGATGGGAGAGGCTTGTCCATAGAAGATTCAAGCTCTGTTCCTGTTTTCCTTCATCATCCTCCACAGGGGAGAAAGATGGGCGATCGCAAGGAGATGAACTCTGCAAATGAAATGCTGGTGCACGGCAGTGAACATGCAAAAAGGTCAGCATTTTTGCCACATGCTGTGGGGACAGTCAAGGTTCTTCCTACCACATCTAGGGTAGAATTTTAGAAGGACAAAGTAAATCACTTTCCAATTCACATTCAGGAGCAGGGGTTGACCACCCCAACCCTACAGCACCATAGCATCTATCCCACTTCCAACTGCATTGTATCTGGCTGTAGCAAGGAAGGCATTTGTGCATCCAAATATGGCCTCTCTTGGGCCATGCTGCATAAACACATCACCTCCTGTCTCCTGATCGGCAAACACAGCAGTACTCACTCTTGGACACATTCTTCCTCACAACCATTTCTCTACATTTTTCAGTCAGGATTATATAAACTTCAGCAGATCATTGGATTGTTGTGAGTTTTCCAGGCTGCATGGCCATATTCCAGAAGCATTCTCTCCTGATGTTTCACCTGCATCTATGGCAGGCATCCTCAGAGGTTGCGAAGTCTGTTGGAAACAAGGCAAGTGGGGTTTATATATCAGTGGAATGTCCAGGGTGGGAGAAAGAACTCTTGGCTGCTAGAGGCAAGTGTGAATGCTGCAAATGGCCACCTTGATTAGCAAATAATGGCCTTGCAGCTTCAAAGCCTAGCTGCTTCCTGCCTGGGGGATCCTTTGTTGGGAGGCACTAGCTGGCCCTGATTGATTCCTATCTGAAATTACCCTGTTTTTTGAGTGTTGCTCTTCATTTACTGTCCTGATTTTAGATTTTTTTTTAAATACTGGTAGCCAGATTTTGTTCATTTTTATGGTTTCCTCTTTTCTGCTTAAATTGTCCACGTGCTTGTGAATTTCAATAGCTTCTCTGTGTAGTCTGACATGGTGGTTGCTAGAGTGGTGCAGCATTTCTGTGTTCTCAAATAGTATTGAATAGCCTGGCATTTTCAAGGTCTGGCTTCTTACTGCCTGGGGGAATCCTTTGTTGGGAGGTGATTAGCTGGCCCTGATTGTTTCTTGTCTGGAAACAACACACAAAAGCAGGAGAATTCCAGACAAGAATCAATCAGAGCCGGCTAATCATCTCCCAAACAAAGGATTCCGCTGGGCAGTAAGAAGCCAGACCTTGAAACTGCTGGGCCATTGAATGCTAATCAAGGTGGCCAATTGCAACATTCACACCTGCCACAAACAGACAAGAGTTCTTTCTCCCACCCTGGACATTCCACAGATATATAAACCCCACTTGTCTTGTTTCCAACAGACCCCACAACCTCTGAGGATGCCTGTCATAGATGTGGGTGAAACGTCAGGAGGGAATGCTTCTGGAATATGACCATACAGCCCAGAAAACTCACAACAACCCAGTGATTCCGGCCATGAAAGCCTTCGACTTTCATTAAGCAGATCATGTTAGCTGGCCACTGGGCACGAGCTCAAACATGCATGCTCACCAATATTATCAAGTGGTGACCCAAAAGAACATGAAAATCAGAACTTAGTCAATTTCCACATATACTGCATTGCTGTCTCCATCCAAGAAACTGCTTCAATTTTAGACCTGTCCTTATGCAGCACAACTGCCTTGAAAAGATGTCCTCCTACAACAGCATGTGCAGAGTAACAAGTCCTGGACACATTGCTACTTTTAAGTGGCCGCATTTCCTATTCAGCCAAAAAGCAAGCAGCACGGGACTTGCTAACTGAGTAGTGGACTCTCAATAAGCTACCTGAGTAGTTAAGCAAGCCACACAGCTATAGAAGAGCAAAGATGTATGCAGTTTTGAGATCACTACTGATTTAGACTATGACAATACTATGAATGTTGGTAACAATCTACCTGCTTTGGAGCCAAGGGAAACGAATCAACCAGTATCATTTACACTGCGTTGGTGAGGCCAGGATGTACCTCGGAAATAGTACAGGAAAAATGATGGTCTTCGTAAGACGAAAACTTCTGCAATCAGAGAATCTAGTACAATGGTTTTCAATCTGTGGGTCCTCGGTTTTGGTCTACAACTCCCAGAAATCAGTTTACCAGCTGTTAGGATTTCTGGGAGTTGAAGGCCAAAACACCTGGGGACCCACAAGTTGAGAACCACTGATTTAGCATGAACTTATATTGGAAACGAAGAGAACACTAGACTAATTATGGTATCACATACTTGAATCGTCTTCTCTCCTACCACCTAATTCTGTGGATATGTCACGAAGACTGCTCATAGCCCAAGAGGATGCTTTGAAATAGAGTCATAAGGGGAAAGGACACCTGCAATATACCACAAGCAACAAGCGAAACCTGAATGTATCACCAAACACAACACCCCAGCCCATGCCCCCCACTTTCCCATATACCCCTCCCTTTATATATATCCCTTTCCTTCACTAGGCCCAATGCCACCCTTCAAAAGGCCTGCTCAAAGGCTGCACCATTTGTGAAGGGGTCCAACTCAAAGCTGCAAACAGTGCATTGAACCGTAACTTAAGGAAACAGATGTCAAAGCCAGAATGACAGGAAAAACAAAAGAGAAGATGAAATCAGGACAGGAAAGGGCTATAGGGGAAAGGAGGCTGCAGACTGGAGAAGGGGAAAGGGGAAGGGAAGCACATTCTCAGGTAAAAAAGTAGACTGGAAGTGGAAGCAACAGAAGGAAGAGAAAGGAGACAACAAGAGGGCATGTTACACTGGGCATCCCACATAGAACACAAGCGGCTGAACATCCAGGAAGAGGAAGGCCCTCCCATACTACCATGCCTGTCCCACACCCAGGGAAGGAAGCACCCATCACCCCAAAGGTCTTCTACATCAAAGAGAAGAGTAGCAAGAACAATCCCCCACAGGGAAGACATTGTGTCTCTTGATCCAGTGCTTGTGACTCATAAACCCCGTTACCTTGAGTTCCTCCTGGTACTTACGGGCAATTGCAATCACCACAATGGCACAGATCACTCCCAGCATGATCATCATCTAGAGAGAAAGGGGGAAGAAGTAATACCCAGTTACTCCCCAAAGTCATGCCCAGAAAAAGACAACAAGGCAATCGGACCTTCATTTCAAACTGCTTCAAGTCTTGTGAGACCACTGGCCCATCTAGTCCAGTAAGGGCTGACCATTCTAACTGGTAGCAATTCTCCCTCAAGCCAGGGATTTTTTCCCCCACTTAAGAATAGATGGTTATCAGCTTTAATTTTCACAATGTTTTTCATGCTCAAGTGCATGCCATCCCAATTTTGCATGAAAAATCATCATGCACATGTTATTGTAGAAACAAGAATTTGTAAGTATTTTGTCCTAATATTATATATGTATATACTCAAGAACAGGCTGAGTTTTTCAGCCCTTTTTAGGCTGAAAAACCCTCCTTCAGCTTATACTCAAGTCAAGGTTGTTTATTATTTTACTGTTATTATTATTATTACATTATTTTACTCTATTTATTATTGTTGTTACATGTATTATTTTACTCTATTATTACTGTTATTACTACATTTCCATTAGGCAAAGGTAAAAGTTTTCCCCTGACATCAAGTCCAGTCATGTCCAACTCTAGGGGTTGGTGCTCATCTCTATTTCTAAGCCGAAGAGCCGGTGTTGTCCATAGACACCTCCAAGGTCATGTGGTCAGCATGACTGCATGGAGCGCCATTACCTTCCCACCGGTGCGGTACCTATTAATCTACTCACATTTGCATGTTTTCGAACTGCTATGTTGGTGGAAGCTGAAGCTAATAGCGGGAGTTAACGCCACTCTCCGAATTCGAACTTGCGACCTTTCAATCAACAAGTTTAGCAGCTCAGTGATTTAACCCACTGCGCCACAAGGGGCACTTTCACTTTTCCATTCCTTTACATTTCCATTACTTTAATATTATTTTTTTTCATTACATCTATTATTTTACTCCATTATTATTGGAAGGATGCATAAGCACATTTACACTGAAGAAGATTAGAAATGGTTTAATCAGAGTTGGATAGTCTTATCTTAAACTACAGTTTTATGTAAATATTCAAAAACATTTAACCCTGGATGAGATAAGTAATGGTAGAATGTGTTTCTGAGGGACACATTAGATTAGGTTCAGCTTACACTTGAATATATATGGTAATCCTTTATTATTTCACCAATTTTTCAAAAATGGAAAATTTGTCACACAATTCAGAAGAGCGAGAAAACCAGAATATATCTGCATTCCTCTTTGCCTGTCAGTTTGAAAACTGATTTGTTTCATACAGCTCAAGCAATTTTCTCCTTCATCTGTATGTACAGTCCTGTCACCCAAAATACATTTCACATGTAAATCCCAGGAACTGAAGCTTTGTCTGTGGAAAGCATTCACTCTCCTCTACTCCCATTCAGAAATCAAGCCGTGAACCCATAGTCTCAGGACTTGTTGTCTCAACTATCCACTAGGGGCTTACCTTGCAGTTCTTCCACCAATACTTCCTCTTGAGTGCCGCTGCACTGCTTTCAAATACTTGGGCACCGGCTTGGAGGGCATCTGCTCGTTCATCTAGTTCCGACAGTTTCTGATCTCTCTCCAAGACTTTGTCCACATTCACACGCATAATATCCACCACCTAAATTGGGGGGGGGGGGGGGGGGGGGGGGGGGGAGGGGAGAGACAATTAATTTAAAAACACGGGAGAAAACACAAAACCCTAAATGGCGATCCAGTAAGTCAGCCACTTACTTCTTCCACCTGTGCTTGAGTCTGCTGCAGGCGACGATTACTGGTCAAATTTGGAGGTTGTCCTGGGGCTCCCCCAGCATTTTCTCCTTCTGCCCCTGGGGCACCTGGCTGCGCTGGATCAGTCCTGGGGAGGCACACCAAGCAAAAAAGGGCATAGGTAGTACACATCTAAGACTAATACCCATGCACCATTCAAACCAAAGGAAGTAGAGAGATATTGACAAGCTGGAATGTGTCCAGAGGAGGGTGACTAAAATGATCAAAGGTCTGGAGAACAAGCCCTATGAGGAGCAGCTTAAAGAGCTGGGCATGTTTAGCCTGAAGAAGAGAAGGCTGAGAGGAGACATGATAGCCATGTATAAATATGTGAGAGGAAGTCATAGGGAGGAGGGAGCTACTCAATACTGGATAGTACAAGGAGAGAGCACTGGCAGAGCTGAAGAGGACAAGTTTCAGCATCTATTAACCAATGTAACACTAAAAAGAGAATTCCATGTTCAGGAGCAATGTTTTATCTGGGTTGCTGTGAGTTTTCCAGGCTGTATGGCCATGTTCCAGAAGCATTCTCTCCTGACGTTTCACTGACGTCTAAACAATGTGAGCAAAACATCAGAAGATAATGCTTCTGGAACATGGCCATACAGCCTGGAAAACTCACAACAACCAAGTGATTCCAGCCATGAAAGCCTTAGACAACACGATGTTTGATCTACCTCAATACAATTTGATGGGGCACAGTCATGGATGGATACTGTGGCTTTCATGCCCTGGTATTGCTTCCCACAACTTAATGCCTAGACAATGGTTTTTAGGTATTAAACTTAGATCTAGCACAATAGGGTTCCGCTTATCATCTTCAGCACATGATGAATACTGTGGCGACTACAATACTAAGGCATCCAAAAGAAAGCAACTGACAGGTAAGTAACATGGCAACATTTTATTCATCCAAGAGATTTATTTCTTTCATAGTAATCCCTATGATGATCCAGGAAGCCACAAAAGTCTCACCTTGCCTAAGTCACAATGTCTCTAGGCAGCTGTAATGGGTAAGCAGCTCCTTTAGCCTTCATGCCCACCTTCCTCAAGCACAACCAGGGATTATTGGGTGTTTTTTAAAAACCATATTGTCATGAGGTTTGCAAAGGTGTGCGCATGAAGCAATGTCAATGCATGAAAAGCACAATGTGATTACCACTGTGGCTACAGTTACACCGTGAGAGCAAATACTGCAGCAAACAAGGTCAGGAGACATCTCTTATCAATGGAAAGGGGTCTCAGGACATCAAACAGAGCAGGAAAAGAGAGTCCACCTAAACATTAGGAAGAACTTCACAACCATGTTGAAAAGGTATCTCATATTGTTTTCTGCTGCTTTGGGGCTAGGACACAATGCAGATATGGATTTCAGCTGCAGGAAAAGAGATTCCACCTAAACATTAGGAGGAACTTCCTGATCGCGAGAGCTATTTAGCACTGGATGGCACTCCCTCCGAACGTGATGGAGGACCCTTCCACATTGCCCTTTATGTATCCCAGGATCTGGTCCCATATCATCTGCTTTAAACTGGAATATTGGAGTCCCCACTTCCAGATAACCTGGGATAAACAGATAATCTGGGATCAGATCCTGGGATTTAGGGGCAGTTTCCTCCTCTGAAGGCATTTAAGCAGAGGTTAGATCAGGCATGGGCAAACTTTGGCCCTCTAGGTGTTTTGGATTACAACTCCCACAATTCTTAACAACCTCGGGGCCCTTCCTTTCCCCCCTCAGCTTGAGGCTGTTAGGAATTTTGGGAGTTGGAAGAGAAAAGAACAGGGCCTAAAGCTGTTAGGAATTGTGGGAGTTGGAGTCCAAAACACCAGGAGGGCTGAAGTTTGCCCATGTCTGGGTTGGATGGCCATATTTATGAATGTTTTAATTGCAATTTTTGTTCCTAGGTTATAAGTGTAATATTCCTAATTGGGTCCATCATAAAAACATGACAAAAGTTTATTAAACTGCAAAAACTTTTGTCTTTGCACAAGGGACATCATGTTATAGCACATTTTCCTATCCAGTCCACCAATTTAACATCGTCATCCACCCATTTAACACAGTTTTCGGCAGAAAAACAAAAGTTCATGGTGTACAATCACTTCTTTCAAAGTAAGGACTGCACAATTACGCAGGAAATAATACTTTCAAACTGGAAACATATTTCCTTTTTGTGGGACATCCTGAAGCACATTTCGCTATAGTTTTTCAATTACTATCTCATCAAGTCTCAATTAATTCAATATAGTCTATGGGAGACACAAAAACAAAGTTTCTGGAGTATACCAATTACTTTCAAAGCAAGAACTACACAATCAAACAGGAAATAACACTTTCAAAATATGTTACACAGTGTTGCATTTTCCTGCATGGCAGAGGGTGGACTGGAAGGCCTTTGGGGTCTCTTCCAACTCTATGGAATTCTAAGGCAGGCCTGCATAAGCTGCAGCTCCCCAGATGTTTTGGACTTCAGTGTGTGAAGTCTCCTTCTTTGGAGGTTTTCAAGCAGAGGCTGGATGGTCATCCACCAGACCTCCAAGGCAGTATCTTCCACTGCCAGGCTGCTCTCACCATCAGGAAGATTTTCATGATGTTTAGCAAATATTTAGCACTGCAGCACACCCAGATACCTGGGAGTTACTCTGGACCATGCTCTAATTTATAAGAAAAACTGCTTGAATATCAAGCAAAAAGTGAGTGCCAGAAATAATATCATATGAAAGCTAACTGGCACAACCTGGGGATCATAACCAGGCCCAATTATAACATTGCCCATGTACTTTGCTACTCTGCTGCTGGGTACACATGCCCAGCGTGGAATACATCTCACCACATCAAAACAGTTAATGTGGCTCTTAATGAGACATGCTGGATTATCACAGGATGTCTAAGCCCTACACCACTAGAGAAATTATACTGTCACTGGTATAAACCACCTGACATCTGTCAGGAAGTATCAGCCTGTAATGAAAGGACCAAGGCAGTGACATCTCTGGCCCATTCTCTGTTCAGATATCAGCCAACAACTGAAATCAAGAAATAACTTCCTAAGATATACAGACATCCTCACAGGAACACTGCAGCAAGCAAGAGTCCAAAAGTGGCAGGCAAAAACCCAGAACCTCAATCAGTGGCTGAGACTGGATGAGGGAATCCCTCCTGGGCATATAGAAGACTGGATGACTTGGAAGACATTGAACAGACTGTGCTCTGGCACCACAAAATGCAGAGCCAATCTTCAGAAATGGGACTACAATGTGGCATCCACAACATGTGAGTGTGGAGAAGACCAAACCACAGACCACCTACTACAACGCGGCCTGAGCCCTGCCACATGCACAATGGAGCGACACCAGAGGCACTCCAAGTGGCAAGCTTCTGGTCAAAGGACATTTAACATAATGCCAAGTTTTTAGCTTTGTTTGTGTTTTTAAATGCATTATAACTGTACCCTCAATTTGCTTCTGACACAATAAGTAAAAAGCTAACAGTCATCTGTTGGGAGAGCATTGACTGGGTGTTCCTGCATGGCAGAAGGGGGCTGGACTAGATGGCATGTTGGGGTCTCTTCCAACTCTAGGAGTCTATGAAAGATTTGCTGTGTCACAAGGCAGGATGCCAGGCTCACGGGGAAAATTCGCGACTGGGCCCTTGCTTTCGCCATCCGGTCCCTGCATGCTCCTCCTTCAGGCAGTTAGTGGGATCAGGGAGCCAGGCTGGGTCTGTCAATTCACAACGGAGCGCAATCCGACCCAATGGCTAGGCTAGTATCACCTGTCAAAAGCTGCAGTGTCAGAGATCAAGGTCGGCTCACAGCTTGTCCAATGCAAAAAAGCGGGGAGAGAAGCTGAATCTACACTGCCATATAATCCAGATTAATTGAACTGGATTATATGAGTCTACACTGCCATAGAATCCCATTCAATGCAGATATTATTATTATTATTATTATTATTAATAATAATAATAATAATAATAACTGACACAATACGAGGATTTAAAAATCAAACTGCAAAGACTCTGGCACAAGCCAATCAAGGTGGTCCCAGTGGTGATTGGAACACTGGGTGCAGTGCCTAAAGACTTTGGCCTGCACTTAAACACAATCAGCACTGACAAAATTACCAGCTGCCAGCTGCAAAAGGCCACCTTACTAGGATTTGTACGCATTATTTGCTTATACATCACACAATCCTAGACTCTTGAGAAGTGTTGGACATGTGATCCAATATAACAACCAGCATAGTTATCTTGTTTCCTGTGTACTAAGCTTGTTGTGCTTCAAATAATAATAATAAAGCATTTTTATTTTTATATTCCACCATCTCCCTGAAGGGATTCCCCTGAAGGTGTCTTACATAGGGACCAAGCCCAACATAAACAAAGATTACAAGCTTAAACACAATTAAACACGTAATAACACAATTACATGTATTGTGGAAGGCTTTCATGGTTGGAACCACTAGGTTGCTGTGAATTTTTCGGGCTGTATAGCCATGTTTGAGAAGCATTCTCTCCTGATGTTTTGCCTGTAGTTTTGGCAAGCATCCTCAAAGGTTGAGAGGTCTGTTGGAACTAGGAAAATGGGGTTTACATATCTGTGTAATAATGTCCAGGGTGGGAGAAAGGGTTGTTGTGAGTTTTCCGAGCTGTATGGCCATGTTCCAGAAGCATTCTCTCCTGACATTTCACCCTTATCTGTGGTGGTCATCCTCAGAGGTTGTGAGGTCTGCTGGAAACTAGGAAAATGGGGTTTATATATCTGTTGAATAATGTCCAGGGTGGGAGAAAGAACTCTTGTTTGGGTTGTTGTGGGTTTTTTGGGCTATATGGCCATGTTCCAGAAGCATTCTCTCCTGACGTTTCACCTGCATCTCTGGCAGGCATCCTCTGAAGTTGAGAGGTCTGTTCGATACTAAGAAAATTGGGTTTATATATCTGTGGAAAGTCCAGGGTGGGAGAAGGAATTCTTGTCTGTTGGAGGCAAGTGTGAATGTTTCACCCTAATTAGCAATTAATTAAAAACATAAGACATAACTGCATTCAGAAACTAGATTATAGCTGTGGCAGAGATTGCAGAGTCCAGCCCTATATAGGAAGCCTTTTAAACTATGGGTCCCTTTAAGAGGAAATGAGGGTCCTGCAAAAACCTGGCCGCAGTGGCTGTTTGGGACACGACTGGGTTGTGCAGTGTTTACAGTGGACTCTGCAGAAGATGCTCCACCAAAACGGGAAAATCAGCCTTGCAAAAAGCTGGTTAGTGATCAATCAATGTGGATTGTTCTCTGCCTGTTTTACATCCGCGTGGTCAGGTCTAAATGTCCTGGGTCGCGAGTGGGGAAAGTTTAAGCAGCCCTGGACTGGAGGCAAAGGGGGATTCCCTTCCTCGAGGAGGCGGCAAAGCCTTGCTTGCATCCCCATTGGGGCCGGGCCTTACACCGGGACGATCCCGGGAGCTGAGCCTCACTAAGACACCCCACTCCGGCTCCGGACGGCAGAGAGAGGGCGCGAGGGGGCGGCGGTGCTGCTACTGCTGCTGCTGCTGCAATGCGCCACTCGGCAGGTGCCGCATCCGCGCAAAGGAGGAAGAAGAAGAGGAGGAAGGGGCAGCGCGGAGCCCGAAGCCGAGGGGATCTCTCCCTTCTGCCTGCTTGCCCTCCCTGCCTCGGTACTCACATCGCCGGCCTCGGCTTGAGCAGTCCCCTCGCCTTTTCTTCGGGAAAGCAGCCCAGGTGAAGAAGCCACCGCAGGAGAGACCACTTTCCTTCGCTAGAAGAACCGAGGCGCTCTGCAGCAAGAAGCCGCACGCGCCACCCCCTCGCCTTTTAAAGGGCACGCGAGACGGGCGGTCCCTTTGGCCCCGCCCCGTCACCGAGAGAACCAATGAGAAGCACGCTCTCATCTCGCCCCCGCCCACTTTCTCCCGCAAAGTCCGACTCGCGTCCCAGAAACAGAAGCCTCTCCCTCCAATGACCAATCGATGCCCGGGCTTATCTGCATATCCACGCCCCTCTCCGACCATTAACCAATCGATGCCGTGGCTCATCTGCATAGCTCCGCCTTTTTTTAATATATTCTTTATTGATATTTTCATAAAAAGGACACGAATAGCATAAAAATCATCATAGATGATGGTGAAAAAAGAGAAAAAAATATTACATGTAATATTACTAATAATACTAATATTACAATATAATGGTATAGTGCAATATAGTAATATATACTGATATTGTACTTTGCTAATAATATAATATATTGTATGAAAATTTATATTGTAAGCCGCTCTGAGTCCCCTTCGGGGTGAGAAGGGCGGCATATAAGCGCCATAAATAAATAAATAATAAATAAATAAAAGTAAAAGTAAAAAGAAAGAAAAAAAGAAGAAGAAAAGGTTTGACCTCCTTGTATCTTCCGGAAGTCTTCTCTCAAATTTAGTTTCACATTTAAGTCCTTGTTTCTCTTCTTTCCCACTTTTTATCTCGTTTCAGTCTGTAATTATCCTTCTTAGACTACTATATATTTTTTTCTTTTTTAAGTATTCATTGACTTCACTCCAATCTGTTTCTTTTCTTCTGGTTTCTCTGTTTTTCAGTAATAAGAAGGTGAGCTTATCCAAGTTCCTAATGTCTAGTAATTTTATTATACAATCTTCCTCTTTTGGAGTCACTTCTTGTCTCCAAACTTTTGCGTAGCACATTCTCGCGGCCGTTAGAACCAAAAATAATATTTTGTCTTCGTCCTTACCTAGGTTTCTGTTATACATCCCTAGCAAAAATAGCTCTGGTTTCAATTGTATCTGTATTTTTAACATGCTTTGAATTTCTTCATGGATCTTTCTCCAAATTTTTTTTTGCTTTATCACATGTCCACCACATGTGGAAGAATGATCCTTCTTTACTCTTACATTTCCAGCATGTCGTATTTGTGTTTTTGTAAGCTTTCCCTAATTTTGGGGGGGTTAAATACCACCTTTGAGCAATTTTAACCCAGTTTGCTCTGAGCTCTATTGCTTGTGTAAAGTTTACAGTTTGCATAGCTCCGCCTTCTGCCGCCTCCCCAAGCTGAGTGGTCCTAGGCTTGGCAGGCATGGGCACGGGCAAACTTTGGCCCTCCAAGTGTTTTGGACTTCAACTTCCACAATTCCTAACAGCCCACCGTCTGGGTTGTTGTAGGTTTTTCAGGCTGTATGGCTGTACGGATCCTCAAACTAATAATCATAATCACAATCATCATCATCTATGTCAGGGGTCCCCAAACTACGGCCCACGGGCCACATGCAGCCCACCAAGGGCATTTATCCAGCCCGCGCAGCCTGTCCTGGCCTCACACAAAGCCCCTCGCCGCTTGCATCAGTGGCGTTTCTCTCTCTCTCCCTCCGGAGCAGCAGAGCAGACGCCATTGCTCTGCAACAGAAGATTCCTGATGGTGAGGAAGGTGTCCACAAATGTTGGAGGCGACGCCGGGTGGGAAGCCAGCATTGCTTGGCCATGCCCACCCGGCACCGCCTCCGCCAATCGCGGACACCCTCTTCGCCATCAGGGATCTTCTGTTGCAGAGCAATGGCATCCGCTCTTCTTCGCTCTCTGTTCTCTGTGGGAGAGCAGAGAGCACTTCTCCCTCCCGTGTGGAGGGAGAAACCTGTGGAAGGAGAAGCGCAGCAGAGCAGATGTCATTGTTCTGCAACAGAAGATCCCTGATGGCGAGGTGGGTATCCGCGAATGGTGGAGGCGGCACCAGGTGGGCATGGCAAAGCGATGCTGGCTTCCCACCAGGCGCCGCCTCCAATATTCGCGGACACCTTCTTCGCCATCAGGGAAGTTCTGTTGCAGAGGAATGGCGTCTGCTCTGCTGCGCTCTCAGTGGCCACGAGGCGCCTCCTGCTCCACTCCCAGCCGCACCGGGAGAACAAGCGATGGGTGTGCGCTTATCTGGACCAGCAGCAGCTCCTGGAAACCCCGCAGTGCTGCTCTGAAAAGGTTTGGCCCAATTCTATTGTTGATGGGGTTCAGAATGCTCTGTGATTGTAGGTGAACTACAAATCCCAGCAACTACAACTCGCAAATGTCAAGATTCTATTTCCCCCATACTCCACCAGTGTTCACATTTGGGCATATGGAATATTCGTGCCAAGTTTGGTCCAGATCTATCATTGAGTCCTCAGTGATTTATGGAGGCAGGTGAACTACAACTCCAAAACTCAAAGTCAATGCCCACCAAACCCTTCCAGTATTTTCTGTTGTTCATGGGAGTTCTGTGTACCAAGACTGGTTCAATTCCATCATTGGTGGAGTTTAGAATGCTCTTTGATTGCAGGTGAACTATAAATCCCAGCAAATACAACCCCCAAACGCCACCAGTGTTCACATTTGGGCATATTGAGTATCAGTGCCAAGTTTGGTCCAGATCCCTCATTGTTTGAGTCCACAGTGATCTCTGGATGTAGGTGAACTACAACTCTAAAACCAAAGGACACTGTCGACCAAACCCTTCCAGTATTTTCTGTTGGTCATGGGAGAACTGTGTGTCAAGTTTGGTTCAATTCCATCGTTGATGGGGTTCAGAATGTTCTTTGATTATAGGTAAACTATAAATCCCAGCAACTACAACTCCCAAATGACAAAATCAACCTCTCCCTCCCAACCCCACCAGTATTCAGTATTTGTGCGAAATGTGGTCCAGTGAATGAAAATCCTGCATATCTAATATTTACATTACGATTCATAACAGTAACAAAATGACAGCTATGAAGTAGCAACAAAAGTGAAGGACATACATTGGGTTATTAGGTGTCCAGTGGTTTTTGAGTTCTGTTAATCCCACAAACGAACATTACATTTTTATTTATATAGATTTATTTCCCATATTTATACCCTGCCCTTCTCCCCCCCCTCCCCCAGAAAGGGGATTCATGCTTACATATTCCAAAAACCACTTTCAAAAAGACAGAAAATAGAATGTTTTCCTCATTTTAACTGGAACTATTTTATCTTCAGAAATGCTAAAACTATGCTTTATGTTCAGATTGTAACAATAAAAATACATCATGCATATCTGATATTTACATTACGATTCATAACAGTCGCAAAATAGGACATGTGCAGTGTGTACAGGAATTTGGTCATCTTTTTTTAAAAAAACTATAGTCCGGCCCTCCAACGGTCTGGGGGACAGTAATCTGGCCCCCCGTTTAAAAAGTTTGAGGACCCTTGATCTATATAAATAAAAATGTAATGTTCGTTTGTGGGATTAACAGAACTCAAAAACCACTGGACGAATTGACACCAAATTTGGACACAAAACACCTAACAACCCAATGTATGTCTTTCACTAAAAAAAACGATTTTGTCATTTGGGAGTTGTAGTTGCTGGGATTTATAGTTCACCTACAATCAAAGAGCATGCTGAACCCCACCTATGATGGAACTGAACCAAACTTGGCACACAGTTCTCCCATGACCAACGGAAAATACTGAAAGGGTTTGGTGGGCAGTGTCCTTTGGTTTTGGAGTTGTAGTTCACCTACATCCAGAGATCACTGTGGACTCAAACAATGATGGATCTGGACCAAACTCTACACGAATACTTAATATGCCCAAATGTGAACACTGGTGGAGTTTGGGGAAAATAGAATCTTGACATTTGGGAGTTGTAGTTCCTGGGATTTGTAGTTCACATATAATCACAGCATTCTGAATCCCATCAACGATAGAACTGGGCCAAACCCCCCACACAGAGCAGCCATGTGGGCCACAGCAACGCATGGCAGGGGACAGCTAGTAATAATAATAAAACTTTATTTATACCCGCTACCATCTCCCAAGGGACTCGGTGCGGCTTACATGAGGCCGAGCACAAAATACATCAATACAAGCAATAACAACCACAATACAAAGCAAAATACTAATACTAATACAAAGCAATTAAAATAAATCTCATACACAAATAGTATAAACATTGAACAATAGCACAAAACACATTTAAAATCTATGTCTGGGCCAAATGTAAATAAAGTTAAAAAATAATGCTGGGCATGAACAAGATAGAGGAGGTGGGGTGTTGGTGGAAACGTACAAGCAGTCCTAAGGCTGTAGAGATCCTCAAACTAAGGCCCTCCAAGGTCATTTACCTGGCTCTCGCTCAGGGTCAACCTAAGTCTGAAACGACTTGAAAGCATACAACAACAACAATCCCATTTCATCAGCCCAAAAGCAGATCTACAGTTCCCATTGAAATACTAATGTTTATATTTGTTAACATTGTTCTTCATTTTAATTATTGTATTGTTTTAAAGCATTTTTGCACTACAAATAAGATATAGGTAATGTGCATAGGAATTCATTCATATTTTTTTTCAAATTATAATCCGGCCCTTCAACAGTGAAGGACTGTGACCTGGCCCTCCTTTTACAAAGTTTGAGGACCCCTGTTCTAGAAGCATTCTCTCCTGACGTTTTGCCTGCATCTGTGGCAAGCATCCTCAGAGGTTATGAGGTTTATTGGAAATTAGAAACATTTATTTATTATTATTTATTTACTATATTTGTATACCGCCCTTCTCAGCCCTTAGGCGACTCAGAGCGGTTTACAATGGCAGCGATTCGATGCCCAAAAACACAATTTAAAAACATTAACACATAATATACAACCATAACAAGAATACTAAAAGCATACATCATTTGCGTCTCCTAATAAAAACATTGTCTCATCTCGTCGTCCAGTCGTTTCAATTACTATGTCTTTTACCTTGCATTTTGAAATGCTTGCTCAAATAACCAAGTCTTGACTCTCTTCCGAAATGTTAAGAGGGAGGGGGCCG